GCTTCATTTTAATCTTGGCTAATGTAATCATGATGTGCCTTGGTATGTTCCTCTTTGGGTCCACCCTCTTTTGGACTCTCTGAGCTTCCTGGACTTCCTGGAAGTCTATTTCCTTTGCCAGATTGGGGAAGTTCTTCTTTATTATTTGTTCAAATCTTCCTCTTCCCCTTCTGGTACCCCTATAATTCAGATGTTGGAACATTTAAAGATGTCCTGGAGGTTCCTAAGCCTCTCCTCATTTTTTGAATTCTTGTTTCTTCATTCTTTTCTGTTTGGTTCTTTCTTTCTTCCTTCTGGTCCACTCCATTGATTTGAGTCCCAGTTTTGTTTCCATCACTGTTGGTTCCCTGTGCATTTCCCTTCATTTCACTTAGTGTAGCCTTCATTTTTTCATCTAATGTGTGACTAAAATCAACCAGTTCTGTGAGCATCCTGATCACCAGTGTTTTGAACTATACATCTGATTGGTTGGCTATCTCTTGGTTGCTTAGAAGTATTGGCTCTGGGGCTTTGATTTGTTCTTCTGTTTGAACCATTTTTGGTCAGGTCACACCTATTACATATAAGGTGCAGAGCCTTAGGTGTTCACCAGGGCAGAGCAACCCAGTTGCTGAGTTGTGATGCTGTATGTGGGGGCAGCAACAGAGAGGGAACAATGGTGCCCATTCCACTCTCTCTCAGATTTCAGTCCCCTCTGCTGCTTCCCACAAGCAAATTGGGCCCTTCTGGTGCTGGTTCCTGGGTGGGTGGGCTTGTGTATGTTCCAGGACCCTGTGGGTCTCTCCAACGAATTCTCCTGTGAGGCTGGGCATCTCTCCTAGCACCTCAACCTGGAAAGTTTTTCTGATTGGTGCTTTAGGCTTTATTTCCTGTTGCTGGAGCCCTGGGTTGCGAGGTCTATCTCACTGCCCATTTTTGCCTGGTTTATCTGTGCGCAAATCTATGACTGAGGTCAGCCAACCACCTTGCATGCGCTGCTCGTTTCCTCCCCGTGCCTGGGGTCTGCTAGCCCCGCACCACCTGTGCTCCTGGGTCCAGCAGCCACCACCTTTTCCAGCCGCAACCCCTCTCTGCTGGCCGCTGACTCTGCCCCTCTTACCGGTCTGGTTGAATGGTTATTGAGCTTCTGTACAGTTTAATTTTTGTCTGCTCTGGTTGTGGTTCTATTCCTAAATATTTGTTGTCCTTAATTTTGGTTGTGTGAGGAGGTACAGTATTTCCATCTATGCCTCCATCTTGGCCAGAAGTTCTAACTAATACTCTTTTATTTGAAAATGAATCAGAGTCCTCTAGGTTTAAGACTGATTCCAAAATCCCCTTTGGAAAACATCCACTTCAATATTAAAATATACATACAACTTATATAATAAGCCTAGTGAAAAATAAAGATTAAACCTATACATGAATTTCAGCTTTTCCCCCTTTTGGAAAAAATACTATAGAAAAATTCCATGTCCTATTCTTTGAATATAATGTGCCTTCTTGCCTCTGCTGACCTCTAGTGGTGTCCACCGTGGTGGTTAAAAGGAGCAAGGGGAGAAAAAGTACAGGGTCTTTGGAAAATGCATGGAATTTACAGTCCCCCAAACGTGTTTTAGTTGGAAATGCGACTTAGACCCCAAAATGAAAACTTGTTGCTTGATGATGGTTAAACACGATTTCCTTTCAAATGAAATGTTGCTATAGTTGCAAAAATAACCACCATATAATTACCATGTTTTTCTTAGCAGCAACTTGAATGAAGGGTCTCATTTTAAATTTGCAACTCGGTAACTGCCAAAATCGAGCTGAATTCATGCATTCATGAATTCAATAACAGATGCTAATGGAAGGATGGCTTTGGTTTGCATCATTAGTGCTGCTCACATCCAGTTCTCTGGAGTTGATGCCGGACAAGAATTTGAACCCAAGGATAACCGGGCCGTTCCTGCCAGGGTTGCCCAAGGATCCAGTTATCAAGAGATAACCAAGGGCGGCCAGGCAGTTTGGGCAACCAGATGTGTTCTGTGCCAGGGTCTATATGGCGTTGAGAAAACCAGTACCCTTATTTAACAGATAAAGAGAGGCTCTGAAAGATAAAATTTGCCTGCTCACCCAGCTGGCCAGATCCCAAGTTTTTCTGATGTCAAAGTCTTTGCCGTGTTCACCATGTGCCTCTCACGCACAGTGCAGAGAGAAAGCCAACTGTAATGTGGAACTTGAAGAGAGCCTGTACCAAAGGCACCACCCCTGGAAAAAAGCAAGGGTCTCAGACATAAAGCAGGAGATGGGCGAGCGTGGAGAGGGCAGCCCAGGACTTGGATTCCCGAGTAGGACTGCCGGATAAGATAAAATACAGGACACGTGCAACATTTGGGACATACTAATACTAACAAAGTACTCGTTGCTTACCTAAAATGCGAATTTAACTGGATGCCTTCCTCCACACCCCCACCCCCGTCCCCATCCCGTCCCCACCCCCCCTAAAATTAACAACACTAGTCCTGAGTGCCTTTTGTGTCTGGTTGGTTGGAGTTGGAGGCCGGGCCCTGAAGCTGCCCTTAAACTCAATATTGGATGGAGTCTATAGGGTAGACAGCAGGTAGGAGATAAAAGGAGGCAGGAAACCCCCACACCTGGGGAAAATGGCTTTCTGCCTAGAGAGCCAAGACTTGGAAAGATGAACAATAACACAAACCTGTGTCAGAAACTTCAACAGGCACACGGATCACAGGGCAATCTTATTAAAATGCTGATTCTGACCCAGTGGTTCCGGGGCAGGGCCTGAAACTCTGCATTTCTAACACCATCCCAGGTGCTACTGGCTGGGGGCCACACTGATAGAGACCAGGGCTGTCCCTCCCCATGAGTAGATGTGTCTCTGGGGGTGTCATGCGATTCAACTCTAGCATCTTTTCCAGCCTTGCAATTCTTCTGTCTTGTTTCACACTTGACAGGATGCTTTATCACTACATGAAGCTATTCTCTATGATGCCTTCTGGGAGTAACACATGCAACCAAATTGTAGTTTTAAATTTGACCACCAAGTCCTGAAAGGAAAAACAATTGAATTGACTAAATGACTGGATTCTTTTGCACTTGTAGAGGGACGAGGGTGGGGGGACGTTTAGACTACTGGGAGACAGCAGCTACTTCCAGGGACATTACAGCCCTGTGAGTGAGTAACCCTGCTTAAAGCAGGACTGGAGAGCTCCACATGCCACCCGCCCCTCGGCACCAGCCTCCCCGTTATGTACAGTCTGAAAGCACCGCGGCTTCATCCCACCCCTGGACCCCGCTCTGCTATTGAGATGAATAGCAGGGCCAGGCTTAAAAATGAGTTCATGGTAAATTTTATGTTACGCATATTTTACTACCACACACACACGTGACACAGGTATATAAACCAGAGATATGTTATTTTAGAAGAAGAAAGTAGTTTCTGGGAGGATCAGAATGTTCCTGATGGCGGGCCAACACACGTTCAGCCCCGGAGAAAAATCTCTAAAAAAGCTGTGATGAACACAAAATCCCAGCCAGAAAAGTGGAGTGAGGTTGAGAGCTGGCTTGACTGGTGACACTATGAACTATGGCCGGCTGTGCCTCTGCCGGCTGCCCCTGGGGTGTTCTTGGGGAGAGGGTGCCAGCTTGGGGCCAGGCCTGGAGCTTGTTCAGGTAGCTGGGCAAGGAGGGAAAACTAGGAAGTGGTTGTTTTTTAAAACTACCTGGGGCATGGAGGGGAGGGATGATTCTATTTTTCACTATATAAGCCTAAACTATTAATTATTTACCATGAACTGGGCCACAATTTTGAATCATTAAAAATAATTTATTTTTCTTTTTCCACTTAATTTCTACAAGATCAGAGTCTTGGCTCTGATGGAAGTCAGAGGAAAAAAATCATCTCACACAGCGGGCGTCGGAGGGCAGAGTCTCCCCTGAGAAGCCCTTTCTACCCCTCTGTCTTACTCACCACGTGTTAGTTGGCCTTGGCTTTGTTAGGGCGGGAATGACAAGGGATGATTAGCTAAATGGAATCCCCAGGCTGGGATTTGACCCCGCTGGGAGCAGGACCTCAGGGCAACTGGGGTGGGGGGTGCTGACTGGATCAGCTTGTCATAACTCTGCTGACGAGTCAGTCAGCCCATCATCTCAATGAGTTGGGGCAGTGTGTGGTGTCAGAAGGTCCTGCCCTGGGGTGGCCCCGAGGGCTGGTGAGACATTCATCAGGTCATAAGTAAGGATGCACATGGACACACATTCACAATCAGCTCAAGCCTGGACGGGATGTCCAGCTGCAGTTTAGAGCTGGTGGACTCTGCACCCCAAGCCACCGGCAGGAGCCCAGTTCCAGACCAGCGACTGCCCACCAGGACCCACGTCTGTGCCTGTGACATCACCCCCTCTCAGCTCCCCCACCCCCCACCCAGGGCCCTGACGTCAGCTGAGCTTCCACAACTCGTGAAGACAATGATCATCCTTAAAGAAAATGTATTTTTAAAAACGTATGAAATAGAGAGAATCTTTGGGTCAATTTGTATAAATATTCATTGGTTTTATCTTAATCTCAGTGTTACTTGGAATGATTTCACCAAAGCAAACCCAGTCTTGGTGGCCGAGTTAGGTGGGATAGGGCTGTCTAATTGCCGGTTGCTGTTTCTGTAACCAGACTCTCAGAATGGTGTTCCCAGGACAGTCTCTGTCCGCCACACACACCCCCCCCCCACCTTAGGATTTACTAGCATCATCCATTCCCTTCCCGACCGTTTATCACTCGCCACTTTTTCCTATTCCAAGTAGGGCATCAGGGTGGGTGTTGGAAAGATCCTGTCCCCCAAAGCTCTGCTCACCCTTTCCCCAGTGGATCAGATCTGGAGACAGACAGCAAGAACAGGGCCCCAGGCAGGCCACCGCCTGACAGGTACCAGCCTCCTGTTCACTTGTGCATTGGCCTCAGATAAGCTGCAACCGTCATCCACAGTTGACAAGCTTAAAAATGCTCACCAATCCAGATGGTTTCATTCTGCGTTTAATGGGCATTTGCTGTTGATGACAGGGTGTTTTTGTTCTTTTCAGACATTTTACACCTAGAATCTACCGTGAGCTCGGGCACCGCCGTGGCTGCGATGGGACCGTGACCGTTTGCTATGAAGACCTGCTGCCGTCAGAACTGCAGAACGTGCCTGACCACTTGAACGTAGTGGCCGTCCGGGGGCGGCTTCCGCTGACTCCCAGGCTGCAGGAACTTCTTAATCGTAGGGATGTTGCTGATTCTTGTTTTAAATGCCTGGAACAAATGAAAGAGCAAAATCAGGGCTTCGAGAATGGTCACAACCTTTAAGAAAATTCAAAACTTTGTTCTGAGAGGAGGGTGCTTAGACCAGCAGCGTACGGAGCCCAGCGAGTTGAATCTGAGTTCATGCCTCAACGCATCTTTGCTGATGCTCTTGGGAAGGCGTAAGACACTTGCTGGTACGTATAGCCTGAGTTAAATGATCTTATTTTTTTTTAAAAATCACTGTCACAATTAGGTAGTGCATGTTAAAACTCAGAAAAAAATCTTTAGCCTATCAATTCCCATTCTAGGAATTTGTTATTAAGGGAACAAGTAAGGATTCTATCAAAGGAATAACTATAAGAATGTTAGCACAGTGAAAAATTAGAAATAAGATGGGTTTCCAAGAAAAAACTGTAAGCCAGCAATTCATAATGATGTTATATATAAAAGGAAAGAGGAAGGTCCTTGCACTGACAGGAGAAAATTTCTAGAATGCGTTGTTTAGGGGAAAACAATGCTCAGGGCACTGCTTAAGAAAAACAGGGGATAAATATGCACTCATTCTTGCTCTGTCTGCACAAATAGGAACAGCGGGCGCCTGCACAGGAAAGCAGTAAAAGGACCCCGGGAGTGGAAGGGTGGGAGGGCAGTGGTGGGAGTGAGGCTTCTGCATTTATGCCTTTTTTACATGGTTCTGGTTTCTCAGAAAGCTGTGACTGTACTGCCTAATGAAAACAAAATAAAACTATATTGCAGAAGAATATTTGTTGGCATGTAAATATATTTCTGATCATTGAAACAATGTTAAAAGCAGGCTGCGGGAATGTGTTAGTGTGATCCTGTTTGGGGAGCAAAAGGTAAAATAATAGGATATAATCATATTTAGATGATTAGGTTTTGTCCTTTTGGTTTATACAAATATATAGTGTAGCCACATAAACTTGCATTTCTTTTATAATGAGAAAAAAGGCTATTTTTATAAAACCGGTGGTCATGTGTTAGATAAAATGTTTCTAAGGAATTGGGACAGAGGCAGGCAGGATTCAGTGAGAGGTCAGAGCCACCCACGCAGACGCTCCTGGCAACCCAGGGACGTCAGGGGGCCCTGGCGTCAGGGGGACCGTGGGGAGCAGAGGTGTTTGGTAGGTGGGAAGGAAACACAAAGACAGACTCGTTATCCTTACTTCCTCGGGGGAAAAAACGTTCCAAGTAGTAAACAAACAAACAAACAATGGAAAGCACCACAAAAATGAAAAATGCACTAAATGTTTATGCTAGAAATCAAAACAGTCTATTCTTTCTCCCTTTGTAGGATTTTCTTTTCTAACCATCTTATATTGTGAGCAGGAGAAAATTACCAAAATGAATAAAATAATGATTTTTAAAACAAACAGTCTTCTTAAGTTTCTTTTGAGATTGACCTGTGAGGCACATTTTATTTCAATCTGTGTTTTTATTCATTTCCCACCCCCCTGGGCTTTGTGTGAATGAAACACACGACCTTTAGCAGAGGGAAGTCGGAGAGAACAGAAGCGTTGAGTTCTTCCACCATTAAAATAGCTTCTAACAGTTGTATGTCTGCCCAGCTGAATTTGTTGCCAACGAGGAAATCCTCTCCATGGTCTTCGAAAATCTGTGGAATGAAAAATTACAAAGAATATCAAATAAAAATAAAGACTACTGTGCCTGGCTAAACACAATGCACGTACAGATCAAATTTGCTAAAGAATCTTTTTCTTGGTAATCCTCCAGAATGCTGGCCCGGACAGGGTAAAACCAGCACTCCCACGCATTGCTGTGAGTCAGCACCATCTTTGGGGAAATTTGTCGGTGGTTATCAAGACGTCCTGGGTGGCGAAGTGCCAGAACAAGGTACCCTGTTATGAGACTGGAGCTGGTTAAGTGACAGTGTACCCACCCGTGTAGGGAGACATAAGTACAGATAAGCCACCAATGGGATACAAGAAGCCCAAACCTGGTGAAGTAGCATTTATCCTACTTTCCCACAAAAAAAAACATACCCCAGAGTAACCAAATATATTATGAGGGGAGGAGTCATTTATGACAGGGTTCCAGCTGACAAATGAGGAGTAGCTGACAGGACTGGGATGTCAACATTTGCATCTACTAATAAATCAGCGGCTCTGGGCATCGATCATCAGTCACACTTAGTCACAAGAAGAGTGACAACCAGATATGTGCTTCCTAATGACCTGCACAACACCACCAGTGAAGTGGTCTGACCAAAGGACATTGAATCTGAACCTATCAAGCTTCTAATTCTAACTTCCGATTGACAGAAAATCTAGGGAATAAAAGAGCAGGTTGTGACTGGTAAAATCCAGTCTGTGAGAAACTCAGCAAGATGAATGGGAGAGGAAAGAGGAGAGAAATCGAGAGGGGAAAAAGGAGCTTGCAATTAATAGGGGCTTAAAATACTATGAATTGACTAATTACAAGGAATGAATGTGAGTTGGGTCCTGATTTGAGCAAACGAATTATTTTAAATATTTTAAAATAATTTAGACATTTTAAAATGCTGGATTAGGCACACAGATTTAAAAACCTGTAGTATGATAAAGCTGTAACTGAAATAATCAGACTAGGTGTTTTTATTTTTAATGGGAAATGTTTGAATATCACTGTACCTTATCCTCAGATAAACAGGAACTTGCTTGTCTAGAACTCTGAGGTTCTGGTAGAACTCTTCATTATCCTTCAGTCAAAATTAAATGATCCTTTTTCAGTCTAAGATGGAACTATTTTGAATTATGCCGCAGAATAATTTTGTGCTGCAAACCAGTATTTATGGAACCCTGTGCTAGCAAGTCTTTACCACATGGCACATGGCCCTCTCGGTCGGGAACCTAACCAGACAAGTTCTGTGACTTGAAGAGGCTTTGTCTCTTGATTGAGGCATGATTAGCTAACAGTATTAAGCCTCAAAAATTTCTGACACAGTGAAGTTGGGGTGATGAGATCTTGAGCTGATCGTTTTTGTTTCAATCAAAACAGAAATGCCTTTCAGTGCACTGGGTTTATTCTAATTCGGTTTTGTTGTACGTTCCGTAATTATGTCGTTTATTTTAGAATCCTTATTAAAGCTTTAGTTCAAATGCAGAAAAGCTCTAATATGATCTCTGTCTTTTCAGATACTCTTTTAAATATTCTTGTCAACAACTTGACCAGGACTTGAAACAAGGACTTGAAAGTGGTAAGTCCTAAATCCCTGCAGCCTGGGAAGAGAAGTAGGAACTGCTGTGTCTGGACCATACCTGCCAGTGTCTCCCTTCCCTTCCCCACTTCCTCTCTGGGTCCAGAGAAGAACTGGAGGGTTCTCACAAAGTCAGCTCCATGCCCCCCCCCGCCGCCTGTCCTCTACGCCTCCAAGATCTGAGCATGCAGCTGTTGTCAACTGGCATCCTGGGTCGCAGGAGCATCAGGGCACCCACCACACTGCTGGTCCCCTCTGGGTGAGGCCTCGCAGCTGTCCAGACTGGATCTCTGTTGCCTACCTTTTCAAACACCGGGAAGTAACGGGTTTTAGCTTTGGTCACGATGGAAGCAACGTTCTCCTCTTTTTCCTCCGGGGGTTTGAAGGCAGCCTGTGCAATCATCATCATGAGGTCCAGAGTGCCGTCGGCATACATATTGATCCTGACAAAACATGGCGGGACTCATTCCCAGAAGCAGCCCCGAGTGCGTGCGGGTTTCCTAATCGGCAACTTCTATGGTGTAATTAGAAATTGGGGCAAATGACTTTCAATTTCCCCTCTCTTGTTTTCCACGTTCAGGAATGATTTCTGAAACCAGAGCCAGCCAAGTGACCATGGTAGAGTAGGGTCTCTGGAAATGTTTAGTGAATAAAGGGATATGTGGAAGAATTGATGAGTCCCTCTGAGTGGAAATCTTTTATAAACAAATAATTAGATTATTAGGGGTGTAAAGAGTGAACTGAATGAAGTTTACCAAAAGTGCAAAACAATTCGTACCAGGACCTTTTCACTTGGAAGATACATACGCAACTTAGCACATCTTCCGTTGACCTGCCAACTGAGAAAGGAGTTTACTTTCCTAGTCAGGTCAGACAAAAAGCTCCTTTCATTCTTTTTACAATTTTCCTGTCATTGACGAACACTTTTTTTAAAGGTTATTTAAAAACGAATAATAGTGGATACATTACCCTTTCTTTTGGTCTATCGGTCCAGTCACACTGTGCTCGCGGTCTCTGAAAACAGTCTGCACAGGCACTGGGGGGTCCTGTGTCTTCGTACCCCCGCTGGGTGCTAATTGTCCAACAAGTGGAATCGCCTTCCTATCTTTGTTTTCCTCTTTAACATGTATAGAGTATAGAAGGATAATTTACTTTCCTTGTCCTGAGTTACAAATCCATTTTCTTTCCTGTTAGATTGACATCTAGCCCGCTTAGTCTATTAAAGTTTATACCTTTAAGAATGTTAGTGATGCTATCTATAGCTTAAGACATTATCTTGGAAAAAAGCCATGGATATTTTAAAAAAAACAATAAAAAACATGCATTGAAACCATGAGAAACAGACTGCTTTTGCATGTTAGTACTTCTTTACATTGTTATAAAAGGATTCTATTCATAGTGTGTTTGAAATTGCTTCTCTTGGTGTACGTCCTTGGGATTGCAGGTTAGAAAGATGAGGTCAGTTTTAAAGGTGAAGCTCTGGGAATGTTGGGGCGAGCTGCCTCTTTTTATGAACTTTGCTCATTTGTATGTAACGCTCTCTCCTTTTTCCGAACAATTGAGCTTGGGCCTTTCTTCTACCACGTCTTCTATGTTTATGGACCATTGAGTCATAGCCATGTTTATGGTGATGAGATATAAGGGGGTCACTGAAAATGCCCCTTGATCCCAAATTCAGATAAAATTTTATAGTTGTCTTTGCTTTGTCTTGTCTATATAGCTCCTATGAAATTACACTAATCACCCAAATAGCTACATATACCCTCTGGTATTTGTAATACAATTTGGTAGTTTCTTCCATCAGTAGATGGGGGCTGTATCCTGGGCTGCCCTTGTGACTTGCTTTGACTAATAGAATGAGGTGGAATTGATAAGGTAGTAGTTTCGAGCCTAGAATTTAAGAGGCCTTGCGTGTTTTCATTGTCCTTCTTAGAGCCCTGCCTAGAAGTCATGAGGCATGTTCAGGATGCCACCACCCAACACCAGAGCCTCCTGGCTGACTACTCGTTGACTACAGACATATGAGTGAGTGCGGCCAAGATCAGTCAAGCCCGGCCCAGATATGTGACCACCCAGATGACCCATAGACTGGTGAGGAATAATAAATGCTTGTTGATTAAGTCACTGGACTTTAAGAAATGCTACACAGCATTGTTTGTGGTCATAGGTCATTGCTACAAATGGTTGATATTTTTACTAAGTCATCCATTTCCACCTTCATGTAGAATGCCAGGTCATTTGATGAGAAGATATTTTGTTGGGAGTGGGGAGAGAATATGAGAATGTTGAATGCAGACTGCTATGAGTAGTAACAGGAGAAGTCTAGCGTATTTATTCGGAGTTAAGCGTAAGTCATGCTGGTATAGCAAGCGCACATCTCCCCTTTGTTCCCCTAGCCTTCTCTCCTCAGTGCAGGCTGAAAGGCTACACCTGAACCAGGTTTCAGGTGCCACCTACAGAGGCCTGGGTAAGAACAAAGTACGGGCATGAACAGGTATCCTATGGTACCTGACTGTCTCCTTCAGGTCCTTCCCATACAAGTTGTACTTGGCAGCCAGGTAGCTGAGGATGGCTCTAGTCTGTGTCAGCATCATCCCATCAATTTCGACCAGAGGCACTTGGCCAAAGAGCAAGCATCCATCTGCGATTTGAACAAAGAAAGGTTATGATGCACTCCTTCTATGGCTGTCACTTCTAATTTTATTGGATGATTTATAGTTTTCATCTAACGTGTTGAGTTAAAGACCCCAGCTCTTTGAGAAAATGCCTTCCATCTGCTTAATAGAAAATTTAAGATTTGCTGGATGGTTTCATGCATTTTTTGTGTGTTGGGTAGTCATTATTATTTCGGACTTTCTACATTTACTATGGCTGGTTCTCAAAGAGTAGGGTGTATAAGAATCACCTGGGGGAGCTGGGTTGTTAAAAATACTCACCCCGCCTCCCAGATATTTTGATTCAGGGTGGCGTCTGGGCGTCTGAATTCTTTAAAAAGCACCTGGGGTATCACTCGGGGTCCACACAGCAACAGGGGGAAGTGGCAGTGAGAACCCAGGCAGACATGGGCCTGCATGTCAGCTTTGGCCCCTTCCGCCATGTAATTTTGAGTAAATGACTTACAGCTTCAGCTTCCTTTTCTCTAAAGTCATAATATTATACATCTAGCAGGATTTTGAAAGGATGGAATGAAGTAACATTAGTAAAATACTAAATACTGTCAAGTCGATGTTTAGTAAAATCCAATTTTCTTCTTTGTGAGTGGCTGCCTAGATAAATACTATATTTAAAAATATACTACAGATACTGTTCTTTTCATGAGGCCTTGAAGAAATGAACAGCCTTTAAATTTCACTGACACCTGTACATTACCCAGATTAGGGAATTTGACCCAGAATAGGAACCAGACTTCACTAGTGCATTGGCAAAGGCCACAGGTGATCTCTCCAATTTCACTACTTTGCTAATTGATTAGTTAGAGGCAGAAGGCGGTGGGGAGAATGGCAGTGCAGGGACCAGCAACAGCTTTCAGGGGCCAGTGTCCCTGTCTAGGTGGAGGGCTTTAGGCAAGTCTCTAACTTCCCTGAGCTTCTTTTCTGCTCTGGAATACCACCTGTCCTGCCCGTCTTAGTGAGTTCCTTTGAGTAGGAATAAGATTATGTTGGTAGCCATGCTTTGGAAATATGAATACTGTTATTAATACTTCAAAACCTCATTTTCCTAAACATTCTACATTTGTTCAATATTGAAGGAACTTCTAAAGCTGTGCTGTGCTGCTTATGAGTGATACAATTTAGAACCAGGACCCAATGATCTTCTGAAGGACTTTCTTAAAATCCTCAGATTAAGAGTGCAGAAAAGCATGTTTGAGATCATTTAATTTAATTCATTCATATATTAGACGATGATCAGGTGGAGACCAAGGGAGGCACATGTGACTTGCCCAACCTCACAGAGTCAGGGACAGCTAAGCCAGCGGAAGTGGGCCCGCTGCCTCCTGGGCCATGATCCTTCCGCTGTCCCTCTCTGCCTTCTGGTCACAGGTAACAGCACTGGCCAGGAGGGTGTCCCAAGTGCAACTGCAGCATCCCTGTCTCAGACAAGGCTGGAGGATTTCAGAGGCTCTTAGGGAGCACTGCTGCCAGAGTGGTCATGGAAGAGATTATGGAGATACAGTCATTTATTCATTCAACATGTATGTAAGTATTTAAGCCCTACCCTGCACCAGTGACTGTCCCTGTGTGTGGCAAAGTGGGCTGAAATAAAGGAGAGGAGCTTCAGGGGGAGTCCAGATAATGAAGTCCCTAGACAAGAATTAGGGAAGGGGTAAGTGGGCCTTCTCTGCTCAATAGGATCAACTGGTGTATTGCCATCTACAACCATACACATTATTTAAATTTTATGGTAAAGAGGATGCTTATGTCAACTATAATTTTTTAAAAAAATTTTAAAGAGACAGGATGCAGAGAAGTTAAAGGCCTTGACCAAAGTCATACAGTTTGTAAATGGCAGGACCTCTGACCACTGGTTGAACATTTTCCTTAAGAAAATAATTTGTCAGTTTCATGATTGTTTATCAGCAACATGTTTATCAGATACCCAGGTTTCCTTAGATAAGAAAAATAATGTAATGGCTGTTAGAAATTTGAAAGTACTAGTCTTTTCTCTCAGTGTGAGAAATTTTTCTGAAGATTGTGGGGATTAAAGACATTTTGATCCCTTTCTATTATCTTGATTCTAAAATGTGACCTGATAAAATGATTTCAGTTAATCTGTTAAAACTGCTGAGCACAAGTGGATACTAATGATGAGCACTAGGGAACATCTTAGGTCAAATTCCTCTCTCTTTTTTCTCCCTCCCCTTCAACTTCCTGGATCATTGTTTAAGAATTAGAGGATGCTTCAGTGCTGATGGGCAGTTTTGAACCGACTGGCACTGAGCAACCCATACTCATCCGTCTTACCTAATAAGGATCTGGGTCCTAACCTACTTGATAAGCTTGTATGAAAGCTAAAGAGACACTGCAGATGACAAATTTAGCTCTGTGCCAGGAACACAGTGAACAGGCAGTTGGTGTTAGTGGTCACACTGCGCGCCTTTCCTAATAGTCATCATTCTAGAGTGCTGTGTTCTATAATGAAATGAATATTTCCAGAAACAAATTTTCTATTTCTTCCCATAAGATGCATTGAACGAATCCAGGCTCACCCTTCTGCAACTTCTCATATTGCTCTCTTGTTTCCAGAAATTCTTCTTCAAACTAGATAAAGGAAGAGACATTGTTATAAATTTAAGATCAAGAAAGAAAGGAAGGAAGGGAGGGTGAGAGGGAGGAAAAAAGGACGGAAGAGAGAGAGAGAAATGCCCGGAGTATAAAATGCCCAATGGCTTCCGGGGAACACAAAGCTATCAACTGCCACACAGCTGAAAATTCTGGTGCAGTGTGTGTGCAGATCAGCTGAGACTGGCCGAGGACTGGCAGCCCTTTTTGTCCTGGCCAATTTAAGGCACATCCCACTCAAACTTTTTTCCTTTCTTCACCTTAGCTCTTCCTTCTCTCCAAACTCTAGTCTTTTTCTTCAATTTCCCCAATGATTTCTCCTCTTCAGTTTTTTCTTTTCTTTCTCCTCTCTTTTCTGTGTTATTCTCCCTCCATATCAGATCAAATCAAATTTCTCTTTGATGCTCATATGTTCAGTGAAAGGGGTCCAAAGATCATTACTCAGGTGGGGTTATCATCACTTATCGATGGAATTTCTAAGCCTCTGTGGGAAAGAGTGACATGTTTGTCCCCCAAACACTGAGATGGGGGTAGGAGAAAGTGAGCAGTGTTAGGAGAGAAGTTCTTAAAGGGAAAAGGGAAAAACAAAGAAGGTCATGAGTCTAGAGGAGATGGCGTTAAACTAGGGAAGAAGAAGCTTACCCCTGCATGAAATCAGACCATTGCGTTTGTGAAAATCTGTGGAAAAGTCAGCAGAGAGAAATTCAGAGCTAAGGAAAGATCACCCTGGGGTGACCCTTCAGAAGAGGATTCAGGGGGAGACCAAACTGCAGCTGCGCCTAGGACTCCAGTTGGCAGCCATTGGGTCGATGTTACTGAGATGCTTAGGCAGAGCTGGAATGATCCCAGAAAGTCAGCTGGTCCCAGTGCAAGAAATGATTCATCTTTGTCTTATGACCCACCAAGATCTTTCCAGCCCTGACAAAGCTTCCGGAACACCTCCCTTGGCTTCCACCCTCCCACCCCTGCTTAAACAGAGGACTATGAGCCTTTCTTCACTTCTTACACAGGAAGACAGTGGGAAAGAGAAAGAGTCAGTATGGCTTGGAGGCACCATCCTGAATTTTGAAGAAGGAAGAGGCTCACTTCAGTCTCACCCCAAGTACCCTCCTTCCTTTTTCCCAATCGAGAACCAACCTCCACTCCAGCGGCAGCCAGCAGCCAGCGGATCGACTCCATCCTGCCCCGGCCTCGGAAGTACCAGAGCTTGGGCTTGGCTGCCATGACGCTTGGCTCAGGGGTTCCTGAAGAGCCAAGTCAGGAAAACGAAATCAGAGAAGAAACTAATACACACCATACGGAGTGTCTCTGTTCATGACAATTCCAAAACAGGCAAAGCAAAACTATCCTTTAGGGGTGCACACGTAGTAGGTAAAACTATGAAGAAAAGCTAGAAAAAAGCAGGATGGAGGTTGTGTTCGGGGGAGCATGGGGCATCCTGGGAGGTTAATAATATTCTATTTCTTAAAACTGAAATAGTAATTAGCCTGTATAACCAATCTGTAGGCTGCACGTACCGGTTTTTGCACTCTCCTATACATATGTGAGCTCTATCTCACAATTTAAGGAAAAGAAAAAACAAACTATACATATCAAGGTAGTCTTTAGATTTGAGAGACTGTCTCTGGTATTTTGAGAAAGAAACAAGGAGTTAATATGATGGTTTCATGAATAATGTTACAAAAGATCATCTTCTCTAACAGTGGCAAGGAGCTGGGCTTGTTCATGGGAACTGGGACCTCCCTCTCTCGCTTCTGCCTCGGACTTTCCTGAGTGCTGGGACGAGCAGGCACAGCCCTGGGCAGGACCAGCACTCCAGGCCTTCCCTGGCCCACACCGAGGGGGCAGGGGCGGGGAGCCGAGGACCAGCTCACTAAACCTTGTCTGCCTTCATGTTCTCACCTATAACTGAAGAGAATTACACCAGGTCACCTGCCACCTTTTAAAGGACAGTGTTGAACAATAAAACTTTGTAAAGTAAAAACTCTGGGAAGAGGTTTAAAAAAAAAGGAGAGTATAGTGGTGATGCAAGTGTACCTGACAGCACTTTTCTACCTCATTGTCACAGAGCCACAGTGGCTTTTGTGTTAATGACCCCTTTTCCTGTCACCATGATTGAGGGGATCGAGTAAGGTAAAATAAAGGTAAAGTGCTCTGAATAGATTAAAGTGCTGCCTGAAGCTACAGGATTGTTGGGTCTCCTGTTCCTGCCTTTTCCCCTCGGCCATACGGGCTGATGCAGGCTTTAAGGGAATGGCAGAAACGTCTCCTGAAGGCACAGTGCTCGGGGCACTGCAGCTGCGAGGCTGCTCTGGAAGCCTCAGGGTGAGCCCAGGAATGAGGAGGCTGCCTCAGCTCCCCCAGGCAGCACTTACTGTGGTCCTCACTATTGTTCAACCTTAGCCCCCCTCTCTAAGTCTGGGTCTCCTCATCCTTAAAATGGGGTGGTAGTTGCACCACCCACCTCCGGGCTATTGTGAGGACCAAGGATTGAATAAAAGTGATAGATAAAATACATACCACAATATCTGACCCATATCAAATAAAGTTCTTGCTTCTTTAAGCAAATTATCAGTGGGTTTAGCATTTCTTAGAGTTTCTTACGCTAAGATAGGCTTGTCTATTAGTTTTATGTGAGATTTATAAGTATTTGTTGTGTGTGCAATTGATATTTGTAAAAGAGAGCTAAATCTTCCATGAACCTGACTCCATATTGTACCAGATATTTAAAAGGTGGTATCTGGTGTGGTTTTTGCCTTCATTGTGGGATTATGAGCATAATGAGTGTTTTCGTGGTTCCCTGTTACCTGGAAGTGTATTTTGGAATTTTACCTAATGGCCCTGTGCCCACAGCCTCCTCACTCCCCTTCCACCTGCCCCTTGCACACTCTCAGGGCACCTGGGGGATGGACAGAGGTAACTCTGGAACTCAGAGCTGGATTACAAGGGCCAGGATCATCCGCTCACCGCTAAGCCGTAAACAGTGCCGAGGGAGCCCTAACAGCCCAGGGTGAGAATGGAAACCTCACCTCAGCTAACTAAGCAGGACTGAACCTAGCAACCCTCCTTTTCTGGTCCAAATGAAGGAAACTTTTTTCTCTAGTTGTGAATAACCAGCCACTACCTCTTAGAAAAATCCCACAAATGTTGGTGTGTCCCGTAAATAGCTGGCTCTGGCCAACCAGCCACCATTTGTCCTCTCTCGGCCTTGGTGGGCCCCATGGATTCCACACTGGCATGATAGAGAACTGAGCTGGGGCTGGCTGACAGGCTCAGCGGGACTCCAGTCCCCACGCCCGACCCCTCCCAGGACGGGCTGTTTCTGGCTAAAAGGACTGAGCGCAGAGAAGGGACCGGTTGGTTACCTGTCATGATCTCACACCCCAAGAATCAGCTGAAAATTCTTCACTGCAAAATTCTTTTTTTTTATTTTTTAATATATTTTATTGATTATGCCATTACAGTTCTATTTCCCCCTTCATTCCCCTCCACCCTGCACACCCCTCCCCCACCATTCCCCCCTTTAGTTTATGACCATGTGTCTCAAGTTCTTTAGATTCTATATTTCCCATACTATTCTTGCCCTCCCCTCATTTTCTACCTACCATCTATGCTACTTATTTTCTGTACCTTCTCCCTCCTTCTCCCACTCCCCTGTTGCTAACCTTCCATGTGATCTTCATTTCTATGGTTCTGCTCCTGATCTAGCTGTCTTCTTAGTTTGTTTTTGTTTTAGGTGTGGTTCTTAGTAACTGTGAGTTTGCTGTCCTCTCACTGTTCATCTTTTTTATCTTCTTTTTCTTAGATAAGTCCCTTTAACATTTCATATAATAAGGGCTTGGTGATGATGAACTCCTTGAATTTGATCTTATCTGAGAAGCATTTTATCTGTCCTTTCATTCTAAACGAAAGCTTTGCTGGATAGAGCAATCTTGGATGCAGGTCTTTGGATTTCATGAGTTGAAATACTTCTTTCCAGCCCCTTCTTGCCAGTAAGGTCCCTTTTGAGAAATCAGCTGACAGTCTGATGGGAACTCCTTTGTAGGTGACTGTCCCCTTAGCTCTTGCTGCTTCTAGAATTCCCTTCTCCATTTTAATCTTGGCTAATGTAATGATGATGTGCCTTGGTGTGTTCCTTCTTGGGTACAACTTCTCTGGGACTCTCTGAGCTTCCTGGATTTCCTGGAAGTCTATTGCCTTTGCCAGATCGAGGAAGTTCTCCTTTATTATTTGTTCAAATAAGTGTTCCACTGGTGGCTGTTTCTCTTCCCCTTCTGGTACCCCTATAATTTGGATGTTGGAACGTTTAAAGATGTCCTGGAGGTTCCTAAGTCTCTCCTCGTTTTTTTGAATTCTTGTTTCTTCATCCTTTTCTGTTTGGTCATTTTTTCCTCTTTCTGGTCCGCTCCTTTGATTTGAGTCCCAGTTTCCTTTCCATTACTATTGGTTTCCTGTGCATTTCCATTCATGTCAATTAGTTTAGCCTTCACGTGTTCCTCTAATTTGTGACTATAATCAACCAGTTTTGTGAGCATCCTGATCACCAGTGTTTTGAACTGTGCATCTGAAAGTTTGGCTATTTCTTCATTGCTTAGATTTATTGGCTCTGGGGCTCTGAGTTGTCCTTGAGCCATGTTTTGATCTGTTCGTGCCTGTTATCTACGAGGAGGTGTTCACCAGGGCGGGGCCACCCAGGTCACTGGTTTGTGCCGCTATATGTGGGGGCAGGTCAGAGAGGGACAATGGCAGTCCCCTCTGCCACTTTCCGCCACTGGGGCCTGCAAGGTCTGTCTCACGGCTTCACTCCTTCACCAGTTTATCTGCACTTGACTGTGTGACTTTGGTCAGCCCTCAGTGAGTCCACCCACTTCTCCACAGCTGGGATCCACCTACGGCTGCTGGTGCACCTGGGTTGTATGCCTGGGTTGCGTGCCCGGGTCTATCCTGTGGATCCTTCCTGCCCAACCCCGCTCCTCTGCTGGCTCTGCCCCTCTTACCGGTTTGGCTGAAGGGCTCATTGTTGTCAGACTTCTGTGTAGTTCAATTTTCTGTGGTTTGGCTGCATTTTTGTTGCTAAAACTTTGTTGTTTTTAAACTTGGTTGTGTGAGAAGGTGCAGTGCTTCCACCTACGCCTCCATCTTGGCGGAAGTCTACTTCTTCACTGCAAAATTCTAACAAGGAGGCAGTGTCCCAGAAGGCAGGGGTGATGGCGTAGCTCTTCCACCTCTTGTGGAGCCAACCCACACACGTGGCAGCTGTTACCTCAATGAGCACTTTGAGATACCTACCAGTTTCTTACATTTCTGTCTTTGATCTTTCATTCTCTCAACATCAACCATTTGTTGAACTTCTGCTATGGATATAGTACTAGGTTAGGCACTCTGGGCACACAAAAATAAATAACATGTAGTTCCTACCATCAAAACCCTTATAAACCTATTTACATCCAGTGGTGGAAGTGTCCAGACTAACCAGAGGTAAGTCAGAATCAACCAAGTGTTCAGTTGAAACACAAAATGCTACAGAGGAACTGAACACAGCATTACAGAATGGGTATATAGGTGGTGTTCTTATGGGAAATAATACAATAATTAAATACGTAATAATACAAGGATAAACACTTGTTCCACATACTCACAACTGTAAACCTACTTTTGCCCATGGCCTGTACATAAATGTTTCTCTGAACCCTACTCCCTACTCCCCCATGGCGTTATAGGTAAGGACCAAAACCAAGTCCTTTAATCCCTTATACTTGACCTCTAAGGAATTTCAACAGACTAGGATAAACTACAGTTTTGCAATATGGAAGATTAAGTTTGTATATGCTTCATGTAGAAAACCTAATTATTCTCATTGTTAAAAAAAATACAGTGTCAAAGCTTAGAAGCACAGGTGAAATGGAATGCTCATTCCATCCGTGGGAAGTGAGGAGGCAGGAAACAAAGGAGCCGTGCTTTTTGGAACTCATCCAAAATGCAAACACTCTGAGAAAAAGCCGCTGAAAGAACCTGGAACCCGAGACTTTGAGCTGAATGTAAAGTCACTCCCATCTCTTCAAAGCTCATTCTTGTGCTGCTGATGTTGACCCACATGTGTGTCCTGAACTCAGACCTGCCTGGTGCTTCGACATTGGATCCAACGACACAGGGAACTGAGACTCACCTGCCAGGATTCACAAACTTCACTTGTGCAGTTTCACCTGAGATAAGCAGTGGGGTGTGTTTCCCCACCCAGAACCCCAGGTACCCACACCTAAGGCAGGTGAGCAGAAAGCAGCGATGATGGCATAACAACCTTTGCATAGTCAGAGTGTGCTCCTTAGGTAACAAACATGCCCCAAATCTTTTAGAAAAGGGGATGTTTATCTGAGTTAGTCCCTGGGACTCACCGGTAAAAAACATACTTCAACTCTCTCACTTGAGCAAGATATTAACCTCTCTGAGCCTCAGTTTCATTGCCACCACAAAGCTCAAAGTTCCTAATTCATTTGGTTAGTTATGAGATACAAATAAGATGTATGCAAATTGCTGAACATGGTATAGACGCATGCACACACACACCTGCATGCATGTACACATAAGCGCACACACATCTATATCTCCAGGTTGCAGCAGCATTCACATGTGCTTCCGAAAGGAGGGGAAGGCATTCTCCAAAAATGTGTCGGGCCAGTGGCATCGCTTCCCACCCAGGAGTGTGTTAGAAACGCAGTCTCAGTCCCTGGACCCAACCTACTGAATCAGAATCTGCATTTTGCACAACACCCCCAGGTGACGCATCCCCAGGTGATGCACTTATATATATATATAAGTAAAGTTTGAGAAGTTGAGTCTAGAATAAAAACCCAACTAAACTGCCGCTGGAACTCAGTGTGGGGCTGGCTAAGTTATTCTCCCTGGGGACTGCTGGCGGGCACAAATCACAGGACACGGTGTTTAGAAGGTAGGTTGAGCAGGCAGGGTGAGCACGTGGTGGCGTGCCAAAGTGGTGGGTGGCTAGGAATAAAGGAGGGGAAGGGCAGAGAGATTGGGGGGAATTTCAGTGAATTCCTCACGTGTGATCATTTTTCTGGTCCCCCTTTAAGTGAGGCCTCCTTCGATTCCCAGGTTTAACAAAGTAATGGATATGCACAGTGCGTTGCCGCCCTAGGGCAGGTCAGCTTCCTCATCGGCAAACTGAAGCTTTGTTTCAGAAGTAGACAATGCCTTTGTTTCTTCCGGCTTTAACAGTCTTTCTGATCTTGTTTCTCTTCCCTGGTCTTCATTCTTTGCCTTCAGCCCCTATCTGCTGTGTACACAGGTTGGGAAAGCAGCCAGTCTTCTTGGGGTGAAATTTTACTGATGATATTAACAGTCATTCTGGATAATTTAGGCAAAACAACACACATTTTTCACATTTATTTGAACAGTTAGTCAAAAAGCAGGCCTTTATTGCCTTGATCATGAAAAATTTAAGGGGTTGATTTGAAGGGGCTGCCAGTTTTCGCAGATGTTTTAGGCCAGAATACAAGATGTCAATTCTAAATCTATTACCAATAGAAATGACTTTAACATTGACTTTGGCTTCTCCAATGGATCAGAATGGTCTATATGCATTACAAACAGCAGGTCAAAATTTGTCACTAAGACAAAACATTCTCCCAGATAACCCTGCATTCCCCCCAGAATTTTAATTTGCTAGTTTGTGAAGAGGTAGCATTATTTTAGCTTTAAGTATATAATGCTTCAGAGCACAACCAAGACTTTCAGTGCAGCTTTAAAGTTTGTCTGTTTTTACTCAATTATGAATTATTTCTCTGTTTTGCTAATATGCGACATAACATCAAACATTTCATTACTTAGATTCAAAATATTAATTATTTGGTTTTTATCAAAGTGAAAGTCTCCATGACAGTAGTTCCTTTGAAAATGAGTGCCAGTACTTATATGGAATTTTAAATATACAAACATAGCCGAACAATATTCCTGGGTGGGGTGGGGTGGGGTGGGGTTACCAATGGAATAGAGTATCTGAAGGGGGGGTGCTCTATCGCAAGCTCACACGAGAAGTATTTCCTCCAAAAAGCTTTATATTTCAGTTTCAGAACCTAAGTTTCCTTTCCATGAAGGTCTAATGGATTGACTCATGTTCCCCAAACTCACAGAGGTTGACATAGACCCCCAAGGTTTATAAACTTACTGAAATGAAAGATATAGCCAAAAAAGAGACTTTCACCTCCCTAGGTCATCAAGGCTCTTTGGAGAAGAAGCAAAGAGTGCTGCCACATGGCCCCTTGCTGTTTAAAGACTGGGGCAAGTCCTAGGGAAATGCTGTGTCTCCTGAGACACAGGAGACTAGAGACTCCTGCCTTTCCCCTTGGCCGTTCCCCGGGGGGTGCAGGGCCCGAGGCAGATCACCTGGATTAGACTTTCCAGGCTCAGTGCAGCAGTTGCCTAGATGAGGAGCCTTGGTTTACCCGTTAGCACCTGGCCAGGTGGCGCCTGTGTTTTCAGCTATGTAGGAAATATGAGATTTGCCTAAGAAGGCAAAATGTAATGGCTCAAAAATTCATAAATGTTTAAGTTCTGCAAAGCCTGTTATGTCACCAACCAACCAAAATACCACTCACTCGCAAGCACTTATTTCTAAAGTTACATTTGATGTGTGATGTCGGTGTGGAGGATGTTAATGTCTGACGTTATGTATAGCATGCATAAGCAGGGAAAGTCTTGAAAAGGCTGGTCTAGATACACAATTGCCATCTCATTATCACTTATGAATCTACTCTGCAGAAAAAAAATATCTGTTCCTTTTATCAATACAGGCAAGTTTAGAAATATAGGCATTAAATTAACCACAGAGTTACAAAAATTGACAATAAGCTGCAAATTTGGCTCCAAAATGCAACTATCCAACCAAGCCCAAGAAGAGTGTATGAAAATTTTACCACTAACCTTATCTCTTCCCAGCTCTTGTCTCCGGTGCAGTGGGGGCATGAAGTGAGGGCTTATAACCCTTATCGTTCCAGTTGAAAGCTCTGCCTGCTCAAGGGATTAGCCAGTGAGTATTCAAGTTTGTACACACCCCTGGGGCTTCACTTTACATCCATTGTTGTATTTGATAGCACATCAGGTTACCCCGAGAAGGAGAAAATAGGACTCCACTGCCTCATGGAACACATATTTACTGAGAACCACGCTGCGCCAGGCACTGTTTTAGGCCCTGGCTCGAGAATGGTGGGCAGGACAGACCCAATTCCTGCACCTGCGGTGCTTACAGTCTAGTTGGGGAAGACAGACGGTATACATAGATAAACAAATACAATGTGTCCAAATAATAACAGCAACAATATAGCAGATGATTACAGTTTATGGATAAGTGAAATCTATGACAGCGATGTTATAAGGGACAGAGGGGAGGAACTGGGAATACTCTGTTATACAAGTATGTACCTACACTACCTATGAAGCAGTATAGTGTATTTGAAAGTGGTCTTTTTTTTTTTAATCCTCACCTGTGGATGCTTCTAGATTTTACAAAAGGAAGGAGAGAGAGAGATTGAGAGAGAGAAACCCGGGCGTGAGGGAGAAACATCACTCAGTCGCCTCCTGCCCGTGCCCCGACCGAGGCTGGAGCTGCTGCAGATGGAGAGGGGTCCAGGCGCTTGGTGGCTACAAACGATTGAACGGGCCACACAAAGGTAAGCAAAGCAAGCAAGGAAAAGTTTCCGGTATCGTCACTGATAACTATTCTGGGAAACAGGAGAAAGCCTGAATGGGAACCACCCACCAGAACCAATACCAACCATCAAACTGTCCAGGGAAACAAGTGGCAAACCTGAGGGTCAGGATCCACTTAGAGCGAGACCAGCTCCTGAAACGGCCCACACCTTCCAGCTACTGAAATGGCCAGACAAAAAGACAGGGAAAACCCAATCCAGTGGGTGAGGAATGTCATGATCTGCTGTATTTACAGTTTTAACACAGTAAACCAAGGTGAATAACCACTTGACAAAAAAACAAACAAACAAACAAAAAAAACACTATGTTAGGGATCATCTCAAAAGTTCCAAGTTAATTCTTTCTTTTCTTCTTGTAGTTAATCCCTTCCCTTCTCCCAGCCCTTTGGCCAAATCATCAGGAGATAAAAGAAAAAAGGAATAGGGACTCTAATCATACAGAAAGTGTCAAGAATTGCCTATTGCCAATTAAGGATTCTGTGCAGAAATGCAGTCATAATGAAAGTTACACTAAAATATTTAATTCCAAAGTAAACACATATTTTACAAGTTCCAAAGTCAAAATCACCCCCATTCCCAAAATCCTCATTTCTTCCAGGAACCAAAGGGAGGGGAGCTTCAGCCTTGGTTCTCTTGGCTTCGTCATCCCAAAATATGGGAGTGGGCCATTTCTGGCCAGGGAGTGAGTCTCTTCTACTGAACAGTTGGTTACAGGCTTTATACAGTCTTTATTTAACCTTCTACCCAGACAATTTCCCACAATCCTCCTTGATTGCCCACTCAAGGGAGGAAACCACAACACCTACTATCAGGTGTCACAAAGCGATTCCCGAAAATCAGGGTGCTGACTGGTGACAGCTGCAGTGTCAGGGTTTCCCATTCTATCTCCGGTCTCAGAGCCCACGATCCAGGTAAGTGCCCGGACCGGGGATCGAACCAGCAAACCTTTGGAGTTTGGGATGATGCTCCAGCCAGGTGCTCCAACCGAGCCACCTGGCCAGCAGCAAGTGGTCTCAGTGTAGCTGTAAATATATATTGCAAAATCTAGGGCAACAAATAAAACTTTATTTTAAAAAATGAGCTACGATTGACATGCTAAGAGAAATGGAATCATATAAAATATTCAATTAAAACAAAAGAATACAGAAAAAGAGGGAGACAAAAGAAAACAAAGAACACGGGAAGCAAACAGAAAACATTTACAAACAGGGTAGATATTAATTCGGCTACATCAACTATGATTTTAACTGTGGTCATAAATACACCAATTAAAAGACAGACTATGAGTGGACTAAAACAAGACCCAACTATGTTTTCTAAAAGGAACCCCCTTTAAATACAAAGACAGAGTTTCATTAAACAGATAAAATTGCCAGAGGGTGTCAAGTGCTCTGAAGAAAACAAAATGGGATGATGAGAAAGGTGGGCAGGTGCGGGGGAAGTGCCACCGGTCCCCTGGTCAGAGGGACTCCCCTAGGGGGGACGTTTGTTAGAGCGGACAGAAGAGGAAGGAAATCGCCATGCTGTCTTCTGGGCAGACAGTTTGCATAGGGGAATAAAAGGCACATGGGATGAAGAGGGAACACCAGCAGATGCAAGAGCCCAGGCTGACTGTTGCTGGTTGCAGGCCCCATCCAGGGGAACTCACTTTCTGCCCTGTTGGGTCCGCAGGATGTGGGCCTTTCCAGACCACCCTGGCCAAGCAGCAGGAGTCAGGGGTTCCCTGCGGCAGCCAGTCTGCCAAAGCCTCTCTCTGGGTCAGGGCTCATTAAGTGCTGCACCTCCTCCTCCATCAGACACCAGGGCCACACGCCATCCAGCTTTTCCCCTTTTGTCCCTGACACTGGGGCGTCTGTACCTGCTGCATTTATATGTGGCTCTGCCCTTTACCCCCATTAGTTCACCTGCCACAGATACGGATTCTAGTCGTTGTTCCTCATGTCACCCCTCTGCTTGTGCTCCCTGTCTCACGTGTTTGGGTCCAGCCCCGATGTTTTTGAGGATAAATGGCCCAGAGCCTGACCTCTTACTCTATCTAGCACCAGAGTCTGGTGTCTCATGAACATGGAATAGAGGGGAAAGGTTTGAGACTAGCAGGCAGGAGTCTGGGTTGAACTGGGGTAATGACACCTAAGGCGGGACGGGAACTTGTTTCCGATGAGGGAACTGAACTGCACGATTTGAGGTCATGTAACCATGAGCAGGAAAGACATGGGAATCTGTCTTTGTTGGTTGGAAAAAGCTTGGCCTCTTGAGTTTATTTTCTCGAGTCCTCTAATTCAAACTTCCTCCCGGGTGGTTTCCTCAAAGAGCTGGCATGGAGTGCCCCCTTGTGTCCAAGAGAATTAAAACCCAAAGAGCAATGTTTACAAAATGGCCTAAAGGTCTGTATAGCAGCAGCCTCTAAATTAATACTGTCAGACAGTGGCACTGTAAATTAGCCCAAATTCGCTGCCGTCCCCCAGACTCAATAATACAGACCCTTGGGTGTTATCAAGTCCAGGGCTGGTTCCCATGTGTAGGTTAACCTTCACATGAGTAAAAAACGTTTCTCATCCCTAAAGAGATTAGAAAGAGCAGGCCAGAAGACCACCCTCACTCTGACACCAACTGCAAGTTCAAGGGGGCGCCCAAAAAATGCCCTCGGGTTTGACAATCCTAGAAGAACTCACAAGACTCGCTGAAAGCTGTTACACTCACAGCCCTGGTTTATTACCGACAAAGGATACAGACGGGAATCAGCGGGGGGAAGAGAGGCACGGGGCGGGGTCTGGGGGGCGCTCCACACACGCAGCTTCCAGATGTCCTCTCTGGGGGGTCTCTGGTGGATGGCATTAACTCCCCCTGGCAACCACGTGTGACAATGGATTCTTGTAAACCTGGGAAGCCCACCCAAGCTCGGAGCCCAGAGTTTTTACTGGAGGCTCCGTCATGAGGGCCTACCTGACTGCCCACGTGGCTGACCCATGTCCAGCCCCTCCAGAGTTGAGCTGACACAGCAGGGCCCAAAGCCCCCACCCTACGTATGTGCGTGGCCTTATTGTACATACGTGGCCGTATGTACGTGGTATTGTTACTATCTGGCTGGCTCAAGGTCCACAGGCAAACAAAGACACTCTTATCAGGCCTGCCATTCCAAGGGCTTAGACATCACCTCCCAGAAGCAAAGGTCAGACCTGTCTGTGGTCTGGCCTTCGGGAAGGGTGAGTCTTTTCACTACACACTCCCCCATTGGCTTCTTTTTCTTGGCTCTTACTCTCTGGATCCTGGCTGGAGCCTGGGCCTCTGCCTCAGCAGCAGCAGCAGCCTGGGCCACAGCTTCTCGCGACACCAAGCCCCTGCTCTTCCAATGGTCCTAAATGTCAGAGTGACACCGGAGTGCTCCACTGTGAAAGTGTGAAGACAGGGACCTGGATGTCTGCAGCTGATTTTTCCCTAATGAAACACTAAGGCCCATGCAGTGATTGGGACAGGCATTAACGATCACTTCGGGACTGTTTTTTTGTTTTTTTGTTTTTTTTTCAAATATGAGCAAAACCCCCTCCTGCAGTAAGGGGTGAATGTGTCTCTTCTGCAAGCCCTCACCAAAAACTTGGCCTTCCTTAGTTATTTCTATTAGATTCTTCCTTTTCCAAAATTACTTCCACTGTCTACACATCTCTCTCCCCTTCTGTGTGGTCAAGTTTTGTAGAGCAGGCACCGTGTTCTAGGTTTCTGCCTCCTGGAACCTTGCTTGGCACATAATAGGTGCTCAGTTAGTATTTGAGCCATAAATCAACACATGTGTATTGCGGTATGAATAAACCATCCTTTTAGTCTGAAATGGAAAAAATTCAGGTCTGTAAATGAACATTTGGGTGATAGAAGTAATATATACTTATTTTTTCTTATGCGTACATCAAAATTAACTGGAAGGATATACACATGGTAACTATGTTTGCCTGTGGGAAGAACCAGTAGCTGGGGGCAGGGCTGAAAAGACTACTTCCAACCGTATACAGCCTTTCATGCTTTTTTGATTTTTGAGCCATGTAACTGTATTATAGATTCCAAACAATTTAATTTAAAAATTCTAGCAATAGGGCAGTGATTTGTAATTCTTTATTTTGGCTTATATCAACCACATTCATTACTACCATGGATTTCTAATAGCTCAGAGGGGAGATGGTCACTAGATATTCTGTTGTTACTAGACACTAAACACGAGGAAGAGACCAGATGGGGTTTAGAATGGGCTCAGGAGAGGAGAGAAGAAGCTCAGGGGAGAACAGGAAGTCCCGCCCTCCCCTGTTGTCAGGAAGTGAGTTCGGATCAGGTCTAACTTAAATGCCAGCCTCTCCAAAAAGGTTTTCAGAAACAGGTCCGTAACATTATTCACTGGACAAAAAAAGATGTCAATGTTTCTAGAAGAGACGTCCTTGACATGAAAGACCCAACTTAGGAACCACTATACAGAGCACCACGACGGAGCTGGGGTCACGGCAGCCTGGCATCAAGATACTACTGTGGACACGGCAAACTCTAGGGGCGGTTCTCACTCACAGACGCCCGCGTTGCTTTACGGCATAAAGATGTTGTAGACGGTTCTCACGTAGATCTCGTCAGGAGGAGGCTTCTTCTTGCTGCCAGGTTCAAGGAATTTTCTAATAGTAGGGATATTACTCATCTTCACTGTGTACTCCTAGAAAGGAAAACACAGATGTTCAAGGTTAACCACAAAGGTATAGCTGTTCCAAATGGTCCATCCAACAAAATTTATTCAATAAGTATTTGGCAGAGATCCAACCAGAACCGTAATCCAGCATCTGTTTAGGATCTGACCTTTGGGTATGGTTTTTTACAATCTCTGCCAACAACGGCTGGGATCTAGACCCGGCTTTATGCAAACCTCATTGTTCACAGCAAGATGTGAATTTTTTTCAGAGATGGCAAAATTAAAAAGGTACTTAGAATAGGACTATGATTCTTGCTTAAAGAGGGAAAAAAGACTTAGGAAGTACCTTAAATATACTGGTCTGTTTACAGAAAATGCACAAGTGATTTAAATAAAAGTGCTTTAAAAAGTCATCAGATGGTATAATCAGATGGTGGGGGAGATGTAGTTGGCCAACCCCTAGTACAGAGGGAAGCCCACTGGACTTGCAAATAAAAGGCTGCGGTTCTAGGCAAACTCAGGGACCCACTCGCTGGGCCATCTGACTGCTGACTTCTTTACCTGGAGTCTCTATTTCCTCATATGTGTGTTGAATCATTGGATGAGATTAGTTGTTGAAAGCCCTTTACTGCTTCAAAACTGTGAGATCAATCCTGCCAGAATAATAGTGAGGAATAAGCAGACTCACACCCATCTTTCCTCAGAATTTCTGGGACGGGGAATTGTGGGAGCTCCTTGGGATGATGTTTAGGGAGTCTCCTACTAGCTCTCGAAACTCAGGCTTGGACATGTCCGATCTGAGACTATGTCATTTCTGAGAACAGGAGCCGTGCCCTGAGGATGAGACCATTTTGACACTGATGCTCACGTCCTCCGGGTCAGTACATTCAACAGGAAAAGATGCATCCCACTCACGTGATTACATCTATGGCAAGCGCCTATTGGCTAAGCTGTGTAAGAAGTTGGTTCCACAAGTGTAGTTACGGAATAAAAGCAACACGAAACTTCTTTCACATGTAAATGATCTTTCAGCTCTAAAGATCTAAGAAGCAGGAAAACAATGTCCAGTCTGTACCTTCACTTCATTTTACTAACTAGAATCTTAAAAAGTCATGTGCCCACACAGGCATCCCGCCCCACCCACAGGCACTGAAGGGAGGTCGCGAGAAGTTCTGGACCAGTCTTCTAACACGTGGTTGTATTTACCTGCAGGTGAGGAAATGATGACAGGATATTGGGAATTTTCTCCTCCAAGGCCAGAATGGTCTGGAGGAGAACCACGTCCGCAAGGCTCAGCTGATTACCAACGAGGAACCTCTGTCCGTGCTCCCTCAGGACCTGCAGGGGTGAGCAGTTCACATCAGTTACAGTACTCTGGAGACACTGATGAAGCTACTGAATCAGAGCAGTGCCGGTGGCCCTATGGCCTTATCTTTTCATCTCTTTATTAACAACATCAATTAGGAGGAAGCCCCCTACATCAGACTGTGCATGCACAAAACATATAGATATGTAAGCACCCTTAAATATCTGCTTATATCAGAACAGAACACTGTGACGGTGAAGGACATTAAATCTGGATTTAGCATCCAGTACTTTCAAAGGATATATCTGTTCTATAAATACTGAGGATACATTTACAGAAATGAACTAGCCCTGATGAATTCCGGACGTGATGTAGGGAGTAAGCGACAGGGCCTTGCCAAGGAGTCCAATCTCGTTTGCCAGTTGTTTCTGCAAACATCAACGCTCATAGTCACAAACTGGACCTGACTATACAAAAGTGGGCTTCTTTTCACATCTTCTAAGCCAGAGAGAATTAAAAGCATGATCCCCATTTTGAGAGCACCATATAAGTGCAGAGTCATAAGAACCATGATAGAAGGAGGGAGATCCCCTTGGCAGGGAACTCTCGGGTGCTCATGAGTGCGAGGACATGTGCACACGTGTGTGTGGTATGTATGACGAACAGGGACCCTGTCACAGCCACTGGAGCCAGAGTGCGGGAGTACAGTGAATCCAGAATCTGTAGTCCGAGGGCCGAGTTCCATCCCCAGCTCTCCTCCGTGGGCACATCACTCAGTCTCCCTGTGATTCTGTTTCACTATGTATAAAAGAGGAGTAACCATTTCTAGCTCATGTGTTGGAAAGAGACCTGACATCATCTGGGCCACTGAAACATAAGAACCAGCGGTGGCCTTTCCCCGAGGCACCTGTTTCTCCCCTGTCACGCCACATGTCTACATTATCATATTTTACATTCGCAAAGTGCCTGTGGGCAAGAGAACATGAAACCGAGTGACAGAAAAACCCAGGAAATACCACCCCTTCTGGAATCTAATTCCATGAAGATGGCCAGAGGAAGTCTGCCAAGTCTATATTTTAACATTGTCTTCTTTTGTTTAATTTTTAATTGAAACATTTAAAACAATTCCTCTCAGTTGAGAAAGAGGAGTTAAAAGTCCAGAAAAGCAGAGTAATAAGACAAGATAAATAACAGCACAGAAAAAAACTGCAAAGGGTAGAGAAATAAAGAGCGATAGTTCTTCTCTTCACATCCAACTGTTAAGTAGAATGTCTGACACATAACGCTGTTCCACAAACGTCTGTGGGATGAAAGAATGAATAAATGAGGGAGTTTCTGCTTTTCTGTACCTTGTACAGGGCGGGCGCCTGGTGAATGTAAGCCACGATAATGCACACACGTGGCGAGCCATATTTCTCCAGACTTCTGAATGATGTGGTCCTAGTGGAGTCCGAGAGGCTCCAAGACACCTTGGCTTTGTGTGGATGGCTACTGCCAGCTCCCAGAAGTCCCTTGGGTTAGCCCAACACTGTCATGAGCGAAAAGGGACATTGGCAGCAGCTCCCTGTGGCCTGGGTCTGCTTGTCCCCAGGTTTCTCTGCCTCCTACCTTTTCGAACACAGGAAAGTATCGAAGGATGGCCTTCTGGGCCATGCTAACCACTTCCTTCTGCTGATCGTCTGGTTTTAGGAAAGGGTGCATGATAATCAGTTCCAGCAGGTCCAGCGTCCCTTCCACATACATGTCAATCCTGAAAACCAAAAAGCACTTTTCTTAGTTTCCCTTCCTAGAACTCCTCGGCTTCCACAACTGAAAAAGCAATTCAGAGGGCTTTTTCTCTTAGGGGTCTGACAACTTAAGTAGCAAGAAGCATTCATCTACACCCGTCCCTTAAGAGGGAAGATACCGAGAAAACTCTATAGTTGTCATTTGGAAAATTCCTTCAGAAACATCTGTCACAAATCAGAAAGCTGAGGCCCCCTCTCCTCCACTCTCACCCCAGCACCCGAGTGCGGTGTGGGTGGAACTCCCCATTTATAAAAAGAGTGGCTATCTCTATGGAATGCTTGGTATGTACCAGGAATGGTGGTAAACACTCCATATCCGGTATTTTATAGACTCCTATGACATTCTGAGGAATGTGCTATTATAATCCCAATCACACAGGAAACTCATCAGGACTGCAGAGCTTAACACATTGCCAGGGCTCGTGCCTTTAAGAGGTACAAGGACCAGGCTTTGAATTCAAATGATAATCCAAGGCACAGTATCCTAGGCCTTGAACGTCACAGCAGCTTCCTAGTCCTATCATGTACGTAATGGTAATAAATTTGCATGGAAGGTAAAGAGCATTATCAAAGCTTTTAAAGATGTTGAAAACTGAAACTATCACACTCCAGATACACAACCCAGTATCTGAATTCAATTCTTTTCTATCATTTCACTCAGATACTCTGTAGTGACTTTGCAACTGGTCTTCACAACCTTCCTAGGTTTTCATTCACTGTTCACAGTAATGATACAGGAACACATAAAGCAGACAAGGTGTGTACTGCAGGGACTGCAGATTGGCTAAGGCATCAGTAAGCTGACAAACGACAGCACTCAGGAGGGGCCACAGTACAGGGTTCTCTCCTTCAGGTCCTTGCCGAAGAGGTTGTGCTTGTCCGCTATGTAGTGGAGGATGCTTCGGGTCTGCACCAGCTTCATCCCGTCAATTTCAACCATTGGCACTTGCTGGAACAGCAGGTGGTTACCTGAGAATGGAAGCCCAGAGTTAGAGGTGATCTCTCCGCTGCCCCCCAACCCCTAAAAAGTGCTGTAGGGAATGAAAAGGGATAGTGGGGCCATAGCCGTAGGAAACAGGGTAAAACTTCCCAATAACAGAGAGATAACCTCAACCGCATTCAGGGGAGCAGATTCAGCCATGAAAGAAGCATGAAAACTAGCTTTGTGCTAAAGTTTCCCCTTTCATTTTCACCCCTGGAAAAGTGCCGCCACAGTGACAAGGGTGTGGAAATGGAATGAAGGCATTTCTTTAGAGCTGTGCTGGCCGAGAGAGTAGCTAGTAGCTGCATGTGCCTAGTTAGGCCTAAATTTAAATTAATTAAAATCTGGAAAATGTAGAATGCATCCTTAGTTACACTAGATGCATTTCAAGTGCTCAGTAGGCACAGATGGCTAGTGGTTGCTACGCTGGACAGTGCAGACTAGACCATTTACATCGCTGTAGAACGTTCCACACACTGTATGCCTTAGGCGACGGGAGAATGAAGCCTAAACCGCCAACTGCTACTCATGGACACTCGTTGGTTCTTCTCTTTCACAGCCATAAAGCACTTCTACCACGTTTGCTGTCACTGATCAAAAAGTAGCCCGTTACTTTCTTCAACAAACCTGTATCAAATACTTTCAAATCCCAGGGAGAGATGCAAGTATAGGGTGCAGCTTGGCCTGGGAAGGGCTCAAGGCTGGAGGGAATGTGAGGGTCAAGGGGGGATGAGTTCTCAGCACATGCCTCATGATGTCGGGCAGTGTGCTGCACGACAGGTGGCATTACGGCCCTGTACAGCTGATCCCTCTCTGGGGAGTCTCAACCTGGGCTCAAGGGCCCTGCTGGGGGTTGGGAGGGAGGCCTCTAGGTATTTCTTAGCAGGGGTGTCCAACCTTTTGGTGTCTCTGGGCCACACCGGAAGAAGAAGAGTTGTCTTGGGCCTCATATTAAATACACAAACACTAATGAAAACTGATGAGCAAAGGAAAGGTTTTAAGTAAATTTACGATTTTGTGTTGGGCCGCATTCATAGTTATCCTGGGCTGTGGGTCAGACACCCCTGTATGGGGCCTGGGTGTGGAGAGGGTAGGGTTGACTAGGATTTAAAGGGGGTCTTTTATTGGTTCATTTGCTCATTCATTCAGAAATGCAGCCCAGTGCAAATGGGGACTTTTATCTGCGTACTTTAGTAGGCCCAATGCCTCAGATAATTTGGAGGAGGCGAAAGAGGTGAGGCAAGGAAAATGAGGAGGGAAGGGATGAGGGAGAGAAAGGAAGGGGGTGAGAAGGAGGTTGGAGGAGGAAGGTCAGGGAGGAGAAAGGGATGGAGAAGGGCTGTTTATGAGGTTGGAAGAAGGAAGTGCTCTCTCCCTTTAGCTAACCCTTACAGAAGTACCAAATAAGAAGCAATTTCCTGGCAATTTCTGCTGTTATTCCCTCTTGCTGGTCTGGTTTTAGGACACTGTTTTGAATGTTTAACGTCAACATTGCCTTTGCCGTTCCAAAGAAATACCGGGTTTTTTTAGAAAAAGTACCAGTATTACTGAGCGTTGTCTCATGTCCATACTCACCATCCTGCAACTTCTGCAACTGCTCTTTTGTTTCTAGAAATTCTTCATCAAACTAAAGTTTAAAAAAGACACCCCCCCCAGAAAAGGTATGTGTTATTACAGATTCAGCACCACAAATTCCAAATTAACTTGCCCCCAAATTCAAGAGAAGAGCACACTTAGTATCCTCATCCCTGTTTCTAAAGACCACTGCCCACTGAAAGCAACCAGGGCTGCTAGGAAAACAGCTGACTCTGGCATGTCAGGAAGCAGGGACACCCAAAGACTAATGAGACATGTCAAAGGTGAACTTAGGACCCTACCTGAGGATAGTCGCCTAGTCAAATCTGGGACGGTTCAAGCATCAGGAAGAGTGGATTATAAGACATACCAACAACAAAAATCACTGTGTCCAGAAATGATGATACTGAAAAAGGGGAGGGGGAGGAGAAAGCTCTTTTTTTTTTTTTTTTTGACAGCAGAATTAATGCTGGGTAATGTAGAATTATTGCTAATTCATAATAAAATTAGAAAATCACTAGTTTGCAACCTACATTGGAATAACTGATTCTAATAAGGGTGATAAAGGGTGCTGAAATCATTGGGTCATGGGACACAGACTAGTCACACAATCTCAAAATGTTACCCATAAGTCACTACATTACAACAAAGGAAAAAAGTATCTTTACAATGCAGAAACCTGGAGGTCACACCATCTGTCCAACCAAGTGGTCAAATTTAGTTGCCCACTGAGGGACACTCTGAATGTCAGTCATGTGCTTGCTGCTATGACAGAATGAGAGGGACACAGTAGCAGTGTACAAACCTTGCCAAAAGCATTCAACCTGCATCTAACCCTGAGGTAAAAATCAGGCACACCCAGATGTGGGAATTCTGCAACACAGTGGCCTGGACCCTTTCAGAGTCAAGGGTGTGGGGGCCAGCGGGGGCGGGTAGAAGGTACTGTTGGAGAGGAAAAGAGACTAACAACCAAATGCCCGAATCTTGGTTAGATCCTGGATCAGGGTGGTGGTTCAGGAGGCAGCTGTAACTGCTACACAAATATATAAAAGTGAGGTAGACATCTGGGGGACATGGGGATTGTATATTAGATATTGTAAACTTAGTAAGCATTATTTTTCTTAGTTGTGACAATTAGATTGTAGTTATTAGGACAGTTTATTCTGAGGAGGAAGGTATCTGCTGATGTGTGCAACTTACTTTTAAAGGACTGAAGGAAATGAAGGCAGAAAGAAAGAAAGCAAATATAGCAAATTATTAACAAATTTAGTTGAAAGGTACCCATTGTACTATTACAATATTTCTGTAGGTTTGAAAAAAATCAGGCAGAACTTGCAGGCAGCTCCAGTGCAATTACTGCCTGAGGCTGGGTTCCGGTCCCGCCACCAGCCCTTTGCTCCCTGACCTCGGAGAACTGCCCTCTTCCACACCACAGCACTCATTTTCTCAACACTCTTGCAGTTTTTTTAAGTGAATTACCTGGAAGCCCTGAACTAGGTAGGAGCTCCAGGCCCGTAAGTATTCCCTTTTGCATGCTGTCGATTTCCCTCTTAACAAGGGGATCTGACTGGATTTCTGGTTTGGGGGGTCTTCAGGCAGATAGAGATCTGTGCTTGATGCTGGAGAGGCAACATCCAGCAGATATTTATGTCTAAGGACCCAAACCAGTGCCAGGGATGGAGGATGCTGATTCCCTGAATCTGGACCAGCGGCCCTTACGCAGGTTGTTACCTAATTACTGAGAAATGTGTGCTTTCCCCGCAGGCTCAACCCGATACTGTGACAGCAGGAATCACGACCTCATCTGGTGGCTGCCAGCTCGTCCCTGATTGGTTCAGATCTGTATAAGCACAGACTCAGCTAAAAATGTGCTTTGGCGAAGACATGGGGAGGAACCGGCGCCCACATCCCATATCACCTTTTGGGAATTGTTCCTGTAAACCACTGTGTTCAGCCCCAGCGAGGGAAGCCAGTCAAGCTCCCTCTACTCTGCTCAGGGGGTGAGCCCAAGACCCAGGCTGGGCTCATTATTCTGCCCCACCCACCTGCCCACTGTGATTGGTCCCGGATAAGCAGGTCATGTGACCTGTGCTTTTTGTTAGTTTGTTTGTCTAACTTATTTAGGGTTGAGTGTCCATTCATGAAACCAAGAATCTTGACTGGTAGGAGAATAGCAGGGACGGGGTAGAATGAAAATTGGGGAGAGGACATGAGGAAGCATTATATTACAGATGTAAGACATCTATTACGATGCCTACTAAATAAAACAACTGTAAATTCAGAAGCATGCAAGTTTAGAAAGATGACATAAATAAGAAGGCCAGGATGAGATCATGGGACCGAGAATTTTTTCACAAATGTCCTGAGCCAACAGGGAACGAGGGGGCGGTGCCGAACTAGAAAGGCCCGGCTGTGTATGTAGTGGCGGGTCCTTCCTCAGGTTCCGTGGAAACGAGAGCCCGTGTCACTGCGCCTTCCAATTTCCCAAGAGAGGCCAAAAGTCAGCATTTGTATATAAAAAGGATATCAACCAATTAAAAAAATAATAAAACACTGTGTGGGGAGTTATAATGGCATACAAAGAAACCAAAATCCAAACCAAACCAATAAGACACAAACCCCAAACTCAACAACCTTCATTGGTCATTTTTGGCGGTTGCCAGGGTTCCAGAACTCATTATTCTGAAAATTGAGAAAGAGACCGAATCAAACATTTACCTTGCCTTTCCCACACAAGCTGTACTTCAAGGTAATTAAATGGTTAACAAGTGAAAAAATACTCTTCGTCAGAGAATCACAGCTAATAAATTCAGGTGAAAGGAAAGAAACAGAAAAATCAGCATTTTGTCATCGCTAGCAACACTGCTGACCAGCAGCTGCTACAGCCACCATCTGAAAGGGTGATCGGGGCACCTTGTAACGTGTGGGCCAGGCTGACGTCTCCGAGCGCACTGGTCACGCTTTGCACGGCTGAAAGGGAGACAGTCAGACATCATGCACCCCTGATGGCGTATGATAAAAACATGTGCTCCGTTCCTTCTGTTAGAATCTGGCAAGAAAAAAAAATGTAAACACAGAAAGAAGATAAAGGAGCCTGGATCTGATCACAACTCAGGATCCAACCAGCCATTTGCAGGAAATATAGATAGTGAAAGAGCAGGTTTAAAATGTGTTTAAAATCAGCCAAATGCAGAATGGGGAGGGGGGAGATTCTACAGAGCAGTTTCTTCCACACTAAAACAAATGAAGAAGTTAACACCCAGATTTGGACTGTTAATGTCATTGTCTAATAAAAGGAACCAGAGCTTCTTGGAGAAATTCCTGATTCTAGGGCCAGGCCAAGGAAAATACAAGCGCAGGCTGGAGCACCTTGTTGTGCTAAAAAAGTAAGAAACTGATGAAGGGGGAGAAAGAAAAGAAAGGTGGGGGGGCAATGTGGAAAGGACACAAAGAGCCAACCTAGAAGAGTTCCAATGGCCAAAGCTGGAATAATTTGAGAAACAAAGTAAAATATGACTGCATTGTAACCCAACGTAAAAAATAAATACACAGAAGTCAGTACTAATATAAATAAATGACTGAATGAATAAATAAATAAAGGGAGAGGAAAAAGACATCTCCCTCACCTAAGAATTCTAAAGGCAGATGCCCCACCCCCACCCCAGGAGGTGGAGCTTCATTCCCACCCTTTTGAGCCTGGGCTAAACAGGATTCACATCTAAAGAAGGGAAAATGGCCACTTTACAGGAAACGTGGCAGACACCACCTTAACCGAGTGACCAAGATGAATAGCACCAGTGATTACCCATGTTAATATTATGTAACCCCTAATGTGATACCATGGAAAGGGCACTTTCCATATAGCACCTTGGTGCTATTTTTCCCTCCAACCCCAAACCTCAGTCTAATCTGAGAAAAACATCAGACAAACCCAAACTGGCGGATCCTACCAATCCTCCAGTAAAAAACCACGACCAGTTCTTTTCAAAACTGTCCAGGTTGTACATTAAAGGAAAGACTGAGAAACTGTCATGGATTGAGACTAAGAAAACGTATGATTCCAATGTTGGATCCTGGAACAGTAAAAGGACACTTGTGGAAAAACTAATTAAATTTGAGTCGTCTGTAGTTCAGTCACGCACCAAGGTTCATTCCTTAGTGGCGGCACGGTTATACGCAAGATGTTATCATCAGGTGAGGCTCAGTGGTGGTGATATGGGAACACTCTGCACTGTCTTCATAAGTGTTCTGTAAATCTAAAATTATTCCCACATATAGAGTTTATTTTTTTAAACGCAGAAGTAACTGTTATTCATTTTTTTTATTCCGAAGGAAATACAACCAGATGCAATGTGCAGGCCCAACCTAGATCCAGACTGGAATAACTGACTATAAAAAGACCAGTTTACAACAATCAGGCCGAGTGTTAGATGATAAACAAGGAACCGTTAACTTTGTAAGGGGTAATAATGGTATTGTGGTAATGTTTTAAAATTCTCATCTTTTAGACATAAGAACTGACAAAGCACTACAATGTTGGATTTTGCTTTAACATATTCCCACGTAAGTGGAAGGGAGGAGTTAGGTGAAATAAGACTAGCATAAAGTTAATGATTCTTTTTAAAACATTTTAATAAACGTATTGGGTTGACATTGGTTAATGAAATGATATAGGTTTCAGGTGTACAATTCTATAATGTACCATCTGTGTATTGTATTGTGTTCACCACCCAAAGTCAAGCATGCCTCCACCACCATTTGCCCCCTTTTTACTGTCTTCTGCCTTCCCCCACCCCCTTTTCTGCTGGTAATCACCATTAAAATGAACAATTCTTGAAGCTGAGTGAAAGGCACATAGAATTAATGGCAATGTCCTCTTTACCTTTGTTCCTACAGGAAAATTTCTGTAAGAGAGAAGCTAAAAAAACAGAAAAAAAAATCCCTGTGGGCCAACACATACACAGATGCAGACAAGAAATACACATCGTATAATTCAGAACAGTCTGGGAAATTTCAGGCTCATTTCTTTTCTCCTTATTAATAAATATTTATTGGTGGTAGATCAGAAGCCAATGATTATGTAAAAGTCAAAAGCAGAACAGAATTCCATGCACTACATACCATGTATTGGAAAAGAAAAACGAATGAGAACAATGTTAAGGAGAGAATCCTGACTCCATGGAGCAGGTCTGTAATATTAGTGGGAGAGGACTAGCTCCGGGCTCCTCCACTGAGGTTTCCCTCAAAAGTCCCACAGTTGTACGACAAATCTGTGAAGAAACAGCATATAAGGTACCTCGACTCCAGCGGCAGCTAAAACCCATCTTACGGTTTCCATCCGGCCTCTCCCGTTCGGATAGTGGAGCTTGGGCTTCTTCTCTGCCATGATGGTCTTTCAGGCTCTGCAAAACACACGCAGCAGCTCCTCCTACTTTCGAGTCCTCAACCCAGTGCTCAGGGGCTAAACGAATATTCACGATGGGGGCACAGGAACGGTTTTGTTCTTACTGCGCTTTCCCTCACTCAAAAACATACCACCTTTTTAAAACTTTTTTTAACCACCTCGGGTTTCATATTGTTTCTATTTATGATTTCTTATTCCAGATCTTGGGAAGCTGGGGCTATTTGTTGTAAAGGCATTTGTGTTAGCATTGTATTTCGCAGAATCAAATCATTACGTACTTTGACCTTGAAAAAATCTTAGATTTCCCAAATTCGGCCGGTAGAGGCCAGACACGGAGGGTTGCAGAGAAGTCTACACTCACCCGCGGGTCTGCAAGTGGGCATACTTTCACGAGCATCATCCTATTTGATTATAACACAAACAGGAGTGTAGACAGGCCGAGTGTTAGTATTGCCTCCAAAATGTGCATCCATCGTCACGCCTGTGATAGCGGCCCCGGGTCCCGCACGCCCTCCCTGGGAGGCGAGCCCTGGGCCCTATGAATGCACCCAGGCCACAGATTCGGCCACCCAAGACTAGACTTCGGTGATCGTTCCATCTGTCTGCCTGCCCTGCCCGGGGAGGATCTGAGCCCGGCCTCTTCCACCAACGGATTCAGACTTCGCAGAGCGGAGTTATAAAAACATGCGCACTGAGCCGAGAATGACCCCAACTTGCAGTCAAGAAGCCCACGTCTGTGCAGACGGAGGTGAGGGGGTGCAAAGAACAAGAAGGAGGGAGACGGGGAAAAGACTGGAGGGTAGGGGAGAAATAAAAAGAGGGGAAAAAGCGGGTGGGGGCGTGAGTAGGGACACAGACCTGGAATCCGCTGACGGCACCCGGAATTTCACAATGGCCACTACGAGGAGCCTCCAGCCAGGCAGGACCACCAGGCGGCTAGGAGGCCCTAGTTGTGGGCGAGGCTCGGAGAAGATTTCACCAATTGAGACAGCAATATTTAGCATGCCCCACCCATATGCAAGGCATTGTGGATAATATAAAAACAGCTGAAATTTAAGCCAGTTTTAACGTTAATTTTAGCCTTTTGAGAGATTTTATAATCTTTGAGGTCCTACTTGGACTTAGACTTTAATTGAAAATTCTCACTAGAGCTCTAACATAATTATTTAAAAAGTTCGACCTACGTGTAAAGATGACAAGTATCTGGGCTTTATATAGCGTGCATACAGTGTCTCCTTCTCGGATGTGAGGGCGATCTGGCTGCGACATCTGTCACCCCATTGATCGCCAGGGTTGATTCGGCTGATCTGGCTGGCTAGGCGGGTGTCCCCTTCCTCCCTCACCGATCCATGTGCGTCCCTCCCGAAGCTGCGCGCTCGGTCGAAGAGGACGACCTTCCCAACTAGAGGAGAGGACCGGTCTTCGGTCAAGGGTATACGAGTAGCTGCGCTCCCCTGCTAGAACCTCCAAACAAGCTCTCAAGGTCCATTTGTAGGAGAACGTAGGGTAGTCAAGCTTCCAAGACTCCAGACACATCCAAATGAGGCGCTGCACGTGGCAGTCTGCCTTTCTTTTCACACATTTTCTTTGTTAAAAATTACATATGATTACTGAAGTGGATTACTTTTCACCTGAGGAGGATAGAGACACACAGATAGAGACACACAGACCTATGTAGAATCATGAGTTTGAAGTGATGCCCCTCCAACATACATACACACCACACATTTTTGCTTTTCCATCCTTTGTCTATTTTTCATAACTCATTGTCATCTAATATACTAAAATTTTTATTTTGTAGTCTGCGGAAAAATGTAAATTCCATGAGGTTAGGAATTTTCATGTTTTTAACAGCATGCATTTGTACATCCTACTTCTAGAATAATGCTTAACACAGAGTGGATATTCAGACAATATTTGCTGAAATAATGAATGCATGCTGCCTTGGTTTGTAGCTCCATAAAGCCTGGCAGAGGTGGACAAGGAATGGAAGAAATAATGAGTACATTTGTCTTTCATTCCCAGGAGCCGTCCGATCCCTGGTATCTTCTGGACAGTTGTGTAAGCCAGTAATGATTGGGAAGGGAGGACGAACATAGATCGAACTGGCAACCAAAGGATGAGCAAGTATGGAAAGTAAGAAATTAAGCAAATCAAGAAGAGCTAGGTAGCCCATGAGGCAGAAAAGTCACTTTCAGGTACAAATATATGTTCAATTTCATCTTTCTATATGACTTAACACAGAGATTACTCAGTCTAACATGGGTAGGAAGTCATATTTTCCAGCCCTGGTGAAAGTTATTATTCTCTTTTTCCAACCCACTTTTCTACAAGGATTCACTTTAATTGAACTACTAACACAAGCATTATTATTCAGCTTTGTTGATATGCCATTTATCTCTATTTCCTTATTTCTAATTGGTTGAATCATATCACTATTTTTTTTCTAACCCACCAAAATGGCAGGTTCATATGTGCAGCCTAATAAAATAGGGACCATCATCCTAGCAATCTTGTTTACCTGAAACAAAGAGAAACTAAGGCAGTATTGAACTACTCTATTAATTACACAGCCTTGTGGAGAAATAAAAAGTCCTGTTTATAATAATTCTGCCATCCTATGGCAGGAACCCTTAGGTCATTTTATTCTTGGGGACTGAGTCACTCTCAGTCCTACTCTATAGCAGTGTCTTCCCACCAACCTGATGTATTTCCAGAGGCCCTGGGAAGTACTCTCTGCCTTTGAACCTTTGCCCACCCACTCAGTAGCATGTAAAATTAACAAAAATGAAGAGTTTTATATCTCAGTTTCAGAGAACCTTAAATTGTTTCCCTCTAGGAAAAGGAAAAAAACAGAATTCAATTCAGCCTTAGCTATAAATGACTAGAATCAGAACGAATTCTAACAGCAGGTTTTTATGGAAGGAAGGATAGTTTCAATTTTCTGGGCTTCTGAAGGAGCAAGGCCAGAAGGTTCGACCGATGGTGACGGACCATCAGGTCAGCGGTGCTCTGATCGTAAGGGGCACCTTCAGGGATTCACCAGTGTAAGTCTGACTGGTAATCACATTCCACAAAGTTCTGCCAAGTCAAAGAATGTTTGGGAAATGAATTTCCTGTGGATCTTGTGTGTATCATGAGGTTATGACTTTCTTTTGAAGGCTTATATTGAACATGTGAGTGCACCATGAAAGTTAGAAACATGTAAGATAGGTTTTAATCATGATGGAATCAGAAACAAGAAGTTTTGACCTGTGCAGGTTTTTAAAAAATATCCCTAGTCACCAAACATTCTAAAAGCGAAACTTAAAAAAATGCTTCCACATTTCGGGACAACTCTTCATACCGCTGCTCTCAGGGTATGCTTCCAATGCACAAGTATTAAGGAGAAGATATAAAACATCAAAATTCCAAGTGGGAAATACTATTGTTATCTTTTGATGGAAGAACATGGAAAAAACCCAGAACACTCAAAATTTTTTTAAATCATAACTTTATTTTGAGCAGAATTTTTAAATGTAAAATTAACATTTTAAAACACCTTAGGATGAACTATTCAAAAAGCAACATTTTATTTTGGAAGGGGCTTGCATAAGTGGTTTTCTGTCCTCTATCTTTTCATCATTATGAGTATTTGCTTTATAAATAAATATATTCTCAGTTCCTCCCTTGTAATCAAATCAGTTGACAAAATTTCTACCAGAAAGCTATTAATTGGGTCCTTTTAAATTCACATTAGCACAGTGTTCGTAAGAAACTAATAATACAGATTAAGTGATATTTGCCTCCAGTTTGTCTTCTTAATGGTTTCCACGAGAAGATCCTCACAATAAATTATATAAAATACAGTACTTTGGTTGGAAATTGTAAAAATAATTCTAAAAATCAAACACATACATTAAACAAACAAGTTGCTATAGTATGCTTTAAAAGAGATACAATTAGTATGTCACACATTTTCTTATAAACATATTGCTTTTGGTCATACACTGAGCTGAATCATAAAGCCTGCTTTCTTTTTCTCTCCTAAATGGCACAAAACGACTTGATGGAAGGGAAATGCTACTTCATGAAAAACATGTCGACCATGAACTCCAACAGTACTGCTATTTGTACTGAAAAACAAATTCCTGACAAAATCCTGACAATTCTTTACAAAATGAGAATAGTGTCACTTTACATGTGTTTCCTTGATTGTATCTGGTCTTCAAAAAACCCAAGGAGATGACGTAGCACTGATTTATTAGACGCTACTTAACCCTTTAGGCGAGAGATATGCCTTCAAAGTTGTTTAAAAATCCATTTTCTTCCTACTTAAATCCCATCACCCATGAGCAGAGGAGGGCTTATTGTAAAATGAGCACTCACACCACGCTACTTTTGTGTCTGTGCAGTTGACACATGTGCCCCCTGGCGCCCCGTCGCTGAATCTTTGGGCATGAGTGACAGCCATCCCCGTCCGTCGCCTGGTGCCCTGAAGGGCTTTCTGACTGAAAGTGAGGTATAGTCATGGATGAGTCCGGTGACACCCATCACTCGTCTTGGTGTCTTGTGGTACACCTTATAATTCTATAGTCATTAAAAAAATACATGCAACAAGTAGCATTTTTTTCTCACTTAACCATAACAACAACAGCAACAAAAAAACAGGTCACTATTCCCTTCTATATTAAAAAACTTGTATACATAATTATCCTTTACCCATTTCGGGGATGGGGAGAGGGAAAGTACTTTATAGGGTTTTCCTAGTTCTTTAGAATTTATTCCCCCGGGATTCTAGTTTCCTGACTAGAAACTGCACATCAGCTTCTTGACTTCCTCATGAATAAATGTGTTTAGTTTCCCAAGGGAAGTTGTTTGCTGATGAACAAAGGAAAGATAAGAGGAAGAAAAGCAAAATATTCTCTGAACTCAGGCCCTACAAAAGTATTAGAAAAACCACTTTATAATGTATAATAACCGGGTAACAAGGTTTTTCAATTAAAAAATATATAATGACTTTAACATGAGCTACAGTGTCAAGAATATGGTATTCACAATCCATTTGCTTCTCTAAGGGGTATTTACAGTTTAAACCCAGCTTTCCAGCAAGCTGGGTATGGTTACAGATTAACTTACTTTGTATACATAATACAGAAAGAGAAAATAAATATTAACCTCAGGAAAGGACTCATTCCTGAAAACACATTTTCTGTTGCTTTAGATAATGAGTGGAGAATATAATACAGAAATGAATTCAGGTTCAAGTTGTGCTTACATACATATTTATTTTCGGAAGCTCAGCCGCCAGTTCGTTAACAGGAAATATTACCTATCGAAGCCACATCCATTATGTGCTTTTCTCCTGGCCCTCGGGATCATAGTGCTTGGTCAAGTGCATTTCTGAGCCAGATTCTCCAAAGCAGAAATTACTCCTGACTTTATAAAAGTGGCTCTTTATAAAAGTGGCTCACAGTATAACTGGTTCAGGTCAGGCTGCAATATATTATTAATACACTGAAATGACAATTTACCAACTTATCAGGCTCACCCATAGCCAAACGCCAATATTCATTTTAACCTACGACAATGGCAATTTCACAGGGTTCAGCTTCTGGAGCCTGGAAGCACAGGAGAGAGCACGAGCCCGGGAGAGCGGGTCGGTGCGCTACTGAGACTGCGCTGCGTTTCTCTGGCCGTGACCTGCCCTCCTGCCTTTCGGGTAACCAGGAGCGGAGGCAAACGCGTCCTACAGGGATGGAGGAGGGTGCGCCTTTTGACTTCCTCTGTCTCCGAACTAGCTTTGTCATTTTCAAAATCGCTGTAAACATTCCTCTCAATGGAACAGCCCCCCACCAACCAATAGAGTTCTCACTGTTGAAAGAAACTACACAAGGGTTAAGAGTTCGAAGTTCAAATGTGGCACACGATGACATCACCATCACGGTGACTGACTTCCTAGCTAAGTGGAACCTCTGCCATGAATCTTGTCAGCTCCGCACATTGCCCTGAGATTTTGGCTCGGAGAGAAGATTATTTGTTGCATGTTCCTAACCAGGCCTGGAGAACTGAGCTGAACACAAATTTCTATCCGTTTTTATAATAAAAAAATCTGCTGCTTTGAAACTTAGATTTTTGGTCATGCATCTTGGCAGCAATATTTGTTTCATTGACTGTATTAACCTTTATGTTGAGAATCTTGTGGCTTGATAAGTTTTCCTTTTGTGGGTACATACACCATCTGATTTCGAACAGGGAAGACACAGAATGTGACGGCACACAGCACGAGAAAGCCTGGTTCTAGCTGGCTACCTCCAACCACTTATAAAGGGTGTTGTAGGAATTTCAAAAAATATTTACTTAGAGTTCTTTCATCAGAGGGGACAAACACCAAACAAAGCGAAGTGGAAGGTCATTTTTCTGGTCCTGATGTCAGTCCAGGGAAGCCTGAGGTGCCTGATGTGCCACATTTAAAATGTAACCACTTCACAAATATCCGCACGCAGTGAGTAAATAACCCTTTATCTTGTAGTCTTAAATTGCACCCCTGTTGCAATACTGCATCAATATTATTACATTTTTTAAAATCTGTATAAAATATTATCTGGAACCCCCAAAAGAAAGTCAATTAATTTTTTAAAAATTTGTTACAAAGTTGACTGTATAAAATGCTAAAACATAACCCATATATACAAAATGCTGCTGTTTAAGAAAATAATGGGACCCAGTATTAGAATAAAATAATTTTGTACAAAAAAAGGGTATTGCATTTAAATCAATATTTAAAAAAAAGTTAAAAAAGAATATTGAAATGTCTTCATTCAGAAGAAGAACTATAAAGTGTTTGTTTGCTTTTACACCATCTGAAAGTTTCTTGCAGATAGAACACCAGTTGGCTGAGACTCTGTCCTGCTTTCCCCTCCAAAGGGCTCTGTGACTGTCACCGCCGAGACGCGTACTTGGAAGCCCAGTCTGTCCGGCCGTGTACTGGCTGTGCAGCTGGAGGCCGTGGGATCAACCCCGGCGTGCTTCTAGGCTGGGTGTGGAAAAAAGGTCGTCCAGGATGAGGTCTCACAGACTTCAGGGAAGAATAACCTGCACGGAAGAGAAAGGTGGGCCTGACTGATAGGGTGCCCATGCAAACAAAGTGCAGATAAATGCATCTTGTGACCAAAATATGAGAAGATGAGAACTTAGGAGGAGCGCTTTGCCTCCTACTCGTAGTTTTCCCCCTTTCCATTAAAGACAACCTGCTTCTATAGCTGTCAGGCTAAATACAGGTATCATTCCTGTCTCCTCTCCTTTTCTCGTATTCTACTTGTAATCTGTCAGCAAATTCCGTTGGCTCTTCCTTCCAAATATACCTAGAATCTGGCTCAACTCAACTGCCACCACCCCAGCTCAGCTCAGCATCATCCTTGCCTGGATGATTACCCTCCCGCTCAGTGTCGCTGCTTCCAACCTTGCTCTTCCCTTTCAGTCTAGTGACCACGAGCACCTGAGTGGGCCTGGAAGATGGAAGTCAGGTCACCTCACTCTTCTGCTCAAAACCCTCCAGTGGCTCAGCCTCGGTGACGACATGCTTACGGTGGCTGCAGGGCCTCACACCACCCGGCCTCTCCTCACCCCCCTGACTTCCTCTCCCCACTCCCTTCTCTCACTCACGTCACTCCTGCACTCTCCCTTTTTGCTGTTCACTGAATATGCCAGGCCTGTCCTATCTCGAAGCCCACACACTTCAGAATTCCATGTCTGGAACAGTCTCACCCATACTGCTCGGCTTGCTCACCCACCTCCTTCACATTTACTCAGCACCTCCTTTGCAGTGAGGTCTTCTTTGGCTACCTGTCTAAAATTGCAATTTGTACCCATCCCTCCAACCCCCACATTCCCTACTCCCTGCCTGCTTTTTCTCCTGAGAACCTATGAGCATCTTATCTGGCTCACTTACTGTCTACAGAGTGCACATTCCTGCTCCACAGCCACCAGTTTTGTCCGTCTCCTTCACCGGTGGATCCTAGACCTCTAGCATGCCCATTCATGCCTACGACTACAAAGCATGTGTTCAATGACTATTTGCTAAATGCCTTTATGACTAATTCAAACTAGAACTTACCAGGGGAAGGATCTGGAATAGGTGCCAAGTGTACCCTCTGCACAGCAGAACCCACTTCTTTTTTCAGGAAGGAAGAGAGATAGTTTCCAGTCAGTCCACTGGAACTCGCAGAGCTGGAACCAACTGATTTGCAAAAGCAAGAGTTCATTAGTGCAAAGTCACGCACACACGACACCAACAGGGCTGCAGGCCAGCGGTGCAGAGTGAAGGATCGGGCTTTATTTTGGGGGGAAGAATTGATAAAAACATATTCTGAGCAGAGCATTCCAGCACACCACACTGCAGAGAGATGCGGGGGACGGGGCGGGGGCAGGGGCAGTGCTGCTCCTGTAGTCCACACCCAAAAGGAGGATGGTTGGTTTGCTTAAGAAAAAGAAAATCGGGCATTTTCTTTCTTTTGGTATAATCTGTTCAACCTGTTCTGAAATTTGCTTTTTTCACTTCATAAGACAGAAGAGTTCTCCTGCCCTGTCGGGATATGCAAATTCTAGGGTATGGATAAACCATAATTCATTTAACCATTTTCTCATTGATCAACACACAAGTTATGTTAACTGTTTAGCTATTCCAAGTAATTCTATAGTAAGTACTCTTGTATGTAATCAGAATAATCAACCATTATCAAACTACATTAAATAGCCCCTACTGGTATAGCTCAGTGGATTGAGTGCTGACCTGTGAACCAAAGGGTTGCCAGTGCTATTCCCAGTCAGGGCACATGCCTGCATTGCAGGCCAGGATACCACTAGGGGGCGCGCGAGAGGCAACCACACATCGATGTTGCCCTCCCTCTTTCTTCCTCCCTTACCCTCTCTCTAAAAATAAATAAAATCTTAAAAAAAAAAAACCTCCTTAAAAAGACTACATTAAATACATTTACTTATTATGTCAGTTCCATCCTGAGAGTGCTTTAAGGGCCAAACTACATACTACTCATCTGTATAGTCTAGGAAGTTAATGGAATGCCTTACATACAGCAAGTAATCAATATATGAGTACATTAGATGGGGGAATGAATATCTATAAGCCTTATTATTAAGGCTTAATGCTACACACAGAATCACAGGAATGTTATTATGGCCATTATACAAATGGAAGTGACAGCCATTAAGAAAGGAGACCCTGAGCGGCTGAGCTGCTCTATGTCCTTCCAGACCGAGTGTCCTCGGCAAATCGCTCAGAGCAGAGTGCAAACCACGGGCTGGGACGCACGCCTGAGGACCTGAGTTGGTCAGCTGGCGTGGATTCTGCATTTTTGGTGAAGAGACAGATAAGAAGAAAAAGGAGAAGGGAATTTGAACAGGTAAAGTCACAAAAGGGATGAAAGATACAGCCAATAAACACAAGAAAGGATGCTCAACCTCATAAGTACACAGGACATGCATGTTTAAGCCAAAATAAATGCCATTTCACACCCATGACATTAGCACAGATTTTACAACCTCGACAGTACCAAGTGGCATCAAGGATGCAGCACAACTCCCATGCCCTTCCGGAGAGCAATTTGGCAATATCTGCGAAGTCAAAGATGAGCACACCCTTTAACCGAATGCGTTTGCATCGCACCCAGAGAAACCCGCACACAGCTGCACAGCGAGGTCCTTTCAGCGTAGTTTCTAATGGCAAAAATTGTAAGCAACTTACATGTTCATCAAGAAGGAAGAGGATGAATAAATTATGGTCTAGTACAGTAATAAATGATGGTATTATATGGTTATACATATTATATGTTATATGATATATATTCTATACATGTACAATTGCTACATATGAATACATAATTATTAAAATGAGTGAAGTGAAGATCCAGAATTATATGCACATAAATTTTAAAACATGCGAAATCATACTATATACTTCATGTATATGTTTTTTAAAAACACAGAAATAATAAACACCCCAATCAGGTGGGAGCTGGAGAGAAGGAAAGGGAGGGAAGGCCTGCGCATTGGGCTTTGGGTCTCTTTCCAAAGTGTGACTTCTTAAGCTGGCAGTGTGTATGTGGGTACTGATATACTATTTTCTTCCTTTTTGTATTCCTTGAAATAAATGAGCACATAATGGATAAGGGCAGAAAGAAGTCAAGCCCAGATGTTTACCTGGGAAGTGGGGGGGGAGCAGCACAGAGCAGGGCCGCCCCGTGAGGGAAGGCGGTGTGGGAAACAAGTCGGCCGGGAATGGGGTGAGTCAGCCTGCAGAGCTTACTAAATGCATTTAAGTACCCATTTAAAACTATCCTTCCAAACTATCTTCCAACTGGAAGTTTTGACGCCCTGGGCTGGGGCTGGGCTATCAGACGCAAAGGACAAGCTGGAGCAGGGCAGACGGAGTTGAGCTTGACTTCTGGAGGTCGCCCACCGCAGAGGGGGCCTCAGAAGTCAGACTTTGTAAAGTTATTTTTGTTTTTCCCATGAGCCAAGAAAGACTATGCTTTTTCCCCAGATACTCCTGAAGGAAGATCCCGTGGAGCTGTTTGAGTTCTCGGGTCCTGCTGCCAAAAGAGAAACAGGCCCACAGGCCTGGAAAACAGGCCCAGGGTTCTTGTCCCAGAAAAGCCCTTGTGGTTCCACGCGCGTACCTTCGCCTCTGTACCCACTTGGCCACCTCCAGAGAATCTGCTTCTTGCCATCGTGGGGTTAATAATTAGTACTCACCTGAATTTATTTTGCTGATCACTGATACCGTCCCTGAAGACTTTCCAGATAAACCAGAACTAGACCATGGGTTAGATGGAATAAAATCCTTGCCTGGAGTCGGAAGGATGCCATTTCTTATATTTATTCCTAATAGGAAAGAAATGTTTTTCAAATTCAAAATACGCATTTAATCTTGCACCAGACTTGAGACGAAATTAATGCAGAACCCAATTTGTCAAAATGTTTCCGAGATTCAAGAACCTAAGCAAAAACTGACTGTGAAAAGGGAAGAAGCCGTCTTCAGGCTGGGTGTGTAGTCTCACCGGTAGGTGGCCTGAGAGAGGTGTCTCACACTTCTACACACACATCTGTCTGGCCAGGTCTTATGTCTTGAACCCCGCTGCTACCGTCCTGGGCCTGAGTGCTCCTGGACATTCCTACTTGTCCCCCTCACAGACCACTGTCTTTCTGTCATCTAAATTTCTCTCTGTCCTCCTCCAAAGCCCTGACCTCTGCAGGTCTCTCCCCTCTTTCTGTCTCCTGTCGCCTGAGATTCCACCTTCTCACCTGACCTGGACCACTGCTGCCATCCCATACTGATGAGTCCAGTCTGTACCAATGAGCTTCACGGACTCCCTCATGTCCAAGGTTGCCTTGACCTTAACCTCAAGCCAAACCACTTTCCCTCTGGACCACCCACGTTCCCTCTTGTGTCAGGCACTGCAGATTTCTGGGGCAGAGACCTCGGGCACGAGGCCTGGCTCTTACCAGTTCCTCCCTCCCTGGGGGCCACACCCAGTTTCCTCTACCAAATTTCTTATTTTAGGCAACTATACAAAGTAGAAATATGAGGCCTGGGCTCCGGCAGATATTTTTATGATGTTCCCACCAGTCCCGAAGAGCAGCCCCAAGCACGTGCCTTCCAAAACAGGATCTCTGAACACGCGATTCCAGGGAAATGGTTTCTTACCAACGGTCCAAGAAAAGGCAAGTGTTTATATTCTTACCAGGCAAGTATCGGGAGTGCTTCAAGTAGTGCTGTTTGGCTGCTGATCTCAGGGTCGGCGTGTCTCGCCTCTGATATGAAGTCTGGGTGGGGGCGCTGTTTCCTGTCCCCACGGGCTCAGAGGGTTTCTTCAGGTCCAGAACACTCTCAAATCTGAATCAAGAGAACGTGGCTTAGGTCAAGCAAGACAGAACCCTCATCAGATCGGTACGATCACCTCACCGATCCCAGGTTCAGTCCGCTCACAGACAGAAGCCTCACACTTGCCTGCAGAGGGTCTCGTCGCTCTGTCTTTTCTTGTTTTTCAGGTCAGTCCTGGTGAGGGACGGGCTGAACTCCAAGTCATCCAAGTCGGCCCAGTCATCGGAATCCTTCGTTGACCTGGAAACCAGACCCCACCTTCTCCTGCTCTTTGGTTTGATGTCACCGTTTTTGTGCTCCAGCCCAGGTAGGATTTTCTGTGTTTACCAGGAGAGAGGAAAAAGACAATGCTTGGCATTAATGGTGCTCATCCAGGGGTAATCCCCACTCTGAACTTTCCTGGTCATAAAAAGGGGGACCCTGGGGTCTTTCACTCCCCACCAGGCACTGCTTGTCTGGAAGGGCAACTGGGAAACACACTCCCAGACTTCTGTCTCTCGCCTGCCCTGCAGAGCTTCACCATTCTTCATCCTGGGGAGACCCCGAGTTGTATAAGATAAGGGTTTTAAAAAAGAAATTCTAGGTACTTCTCCAAAACTAGGAAGGTGGCTGGATTCTCATTCTGGTCTCCTCTCAAAGAATTAACATGATTTATAGTGTTATAAATAAAGATGGAAGAGAAAATAGCTAAGATGTCCCTCACCCTGCTCTTTTACAGAAAACAATACAAGCAGTGGTTTCCTTGCCTTCTTGGTAGACCTGGACACGATTTCACTACAGAATGAGGTATCATGGAAAATTTCCAAACACACTGCGTTCAAGTCTGGGGCTGGGGGACAGCCAGCAGCCTGGAGACACCACCTCGTAACCTCCCGCAGTGTGCTGCATTGTGCTGGCTGGGCGCCCGCGCTCGCGGAATGAATGCCAGTTGACAGAAAATGTTTGCACGAAGGTGTTGGAAAAGCAGACTTTCGGACAGCGTTATACAGTGACTGGTAACCACACTTCCTTGTCAGGGTATCGTTTGTCTAAATCTAACACTCGCCGTCTCCTTTTGGACTCCAGCCCAAGAGGAGAAACAAGACCTGGACTCAGTTACTGCCACATTACCCACCGCTGACGGCATCCGTGGGAGTAACAACCTACAAACACCAGCGTGGTTCTTTGGGATTTTCAGAACATGCTCGCAAGGACCTCTGCTGCTCATGAAGAGCCCTGTCAGTGGGCAAGACAGACATGGTGACCTTCTCTCACAGGTGGGGAGACTGGGTCCACAGGGACTGGTAACAACGACCAATACTTACCAAGTTCTCACTTGGCACCAGGTACTAGTTCACACTCTTTCAAATATTAACTCATTTAGTCCTCAAAAAAATTCTGTCAGACAGGCGCTACTGCCATCCCTATGTTACAGAGAGGAAACAAGGACTGGAGGGGCCGGGGAGGTGCCTAGGCCGACCGAGCGGGGAAACAGCAGGGCGGAGGCGTGAGACCCTGGCAATCTGGCTGCGGCGTCCTGCCCGGCGTCCCGCCTGCAACCACCACAGCACTGTGGTTAACAGGCAGGGCCTGAACTTGAACCCAGACCTCTGACTCCAAGGCCAGAGCTCTCTTTACAATTCCATGATATTGCCATGACAAAGTTATTACAATTCCACTTTATTCGCTAAAAAAGAAGACAGTTCCCACGTTAAGTGAAGTCAGAAGAGGAACAGGCCAGGCACGAGGCGCACGCGTGCACCTTCCCTGCTTACCGCCGGGGGGTTCTTGGCGTGGAGGGACGGGAGGAGCAAGGGGCTTGACTCGTCCTCCGGAAGATGGCTCGGGTGGTCTGTCCTGGAAGCCTCTGCTTTGTAGGGGTACATGAGATGCTGAGGGGGCTGGCCGGCTTGATGCTGTCTCGAAGAAATCCGCGTGTGTGGTTTGGTTGGGGGCTGGGCAGGAGGGACTGGCTTCAGGTGAGGAGGCGGGCCTGCCTTTTCCAGGCCGTCCTTCTGGGGTCCTCCTGAACCCTGAAGGCTCTGCGCGCTGCTGCCCAGCGGGTGCCCAATCTGGAAGTAAGGGTATCGAAGCGCCTGCAATGACACACGTGGCTGCTTTAGGAGAAAAGTCTAGCTGGGAAGGTCAACACCATCGGGCTCACGGGGCTATATTCCGTGGGACTGTAGTAAGAAATTGCTTATTACAGTTTCTTAGCCCAAACCAACTACAGGGTGGGGCAAAAGTAGGTTTATAGTTGTATGTATGGAAACGAATACAATATTTAAAAAAAAAAATAACACTCAAACTGCAAACCTGTGTTTGCCCCTGCCCCATATCAAACAGCAGCTTCAACCTGTAACACCCGTGAATTTTTTCTAAAACAGCATCAAATGCATGGACTTACAGTGGTCTGGCGGAAGCAGCCAGTTACACTGCTATTACCTTTGCTACTTTGGAGAAGTATTTGGGCTCAACACAGGTCCTAGCTAGCTTTGTAACTAATTTGCTGTATGTCTTCAATATAATGCTTCACCTTTCTAAGCATTTCCTCGTGCCAGAGAAAGAGAAGTAAATAATGTAAAACCGAAACAGCCAAACACAATGGTCCCAGAGTTCCCTGAAGAATCAGGTGTACAGTGAACAAGTGCATCTGCTTGTACCCCAGGAACGCCGAGAATACAATACAGCGTATGGCTGTACAAGTAGCCACTAAACCTTGTTAGTTGTTCTGAAAAATCGGGTTCTCTAGACAGCCAAAAGATAAGTCTCACAAGTTTTTCTGAAATCTTCCATTTTCCCTAGTCTTTCTGGATGAAAATTACCGATCACAGCATAACCTTTCTTAACCATCTGGGACGTGGCTGTAAACATCGATAAGCACCAATGTAAACATCGACACAGAGGCAAGCGACGTGGATGGTCCGGTGCAGGTCCTGGACCCCGGCATCGAACTCGGAGAGTCTCCTCTGCGGTCCCATTCCTGGAAGTCCCAGCTGGGTGAGTGGCACTTCTAGCTTTTCTGACACTGTTAAAAGCACACACTGCTCCCTTCGTTCCTTGTTACAGAATCTTTTTCTTTTCATTTCTGTGTGCACCTGGTAAAACACTGGGTTCATCAGAAAGCTTCCTATCTGCCCTGAGAATATTAGTGAGTTTCATTCCAAGAAGCGCATTTCTGAGAGCTTGCCCACCTCTTGGGCCATCCCGAGTCCTACGGCACCACTTGGCTTTCTTCTTTGAGCCTTCACAAAGCTGCTTTTCTGCAGATCCTTAATCCCCCCATCACCATCTCTGCAGCTCTCACAAATTCTAACATCACATCGGCACTGTCTCAAATGTTGCTGTCACTTTTGCTTAGCCAAATCATCATTTCCGGTCACTGTTCTTTATTCCCTGAGCAGTGTGATCGTCAATGAGACAAGGTGAGAAGGGGTCGGACACAAGCAGTGCAAAAGGCAGCTGGCAGGGGCCCTGCCACGCCTCTTTGGGGCGTACTTCCTAGTCTAAGCCAGGTGGCCCGGGGGAGGGCGGGAAGAGAACCCGGGAGGAAGGGAGTCAGAGACCTCCACCCGAGCAGCTGCGCTGCAGTTGGTTGTCCTGTCCGAACCACTTACTAAGTGAGTGATTAGGGCAGATTGCTTAAACTTTCTGAGATCCCATTTCCTCATTTATAGAATGAAAAGAGTAATGCCTACCTCATGGGTTAAAATCGCAACAAAACAATCTTCAGCATTTATAAACTGCAAAGTGCTATAACATGCTAATCCCGGTTATTAGCCCAACCCTATCCCACCGGTCGTTCTCTCTGTCATCTGTAAAGTGAGCAAGTTGGGTTTTACAAGACAATTTCAAATTCCCTTTCAACAATCAGCCTGGTTATAAACAAATAGTTCCATGATTTCAACTCATAGAGGATATATTTGACAACATTCTCCAAATACAGGTAGATACACACCTATTTTCATTTCCACACATATAGTGATATATCATGTGAACTGAATGCCAGTCTTCAAAGCCACCACAGATTAAATCTTAACTATGCCTTTACATGAGTTTCAAGCTATTTTAAGAGAATACACCAACAGTGGTATTCACAACTATTGTTAAGCATAATATCAAATGAATTACTTTCGCCAAGATGTATAGAAGTTATCTGGAGTTAGGTGTGAACGTCACGAGAAATGCACTGAGCAGAGGAGAGTGGAAGCCGACCTGACTGGCTGTGGGCCGTTTCCTGGGGTCCCACTGCAGCATGTCTCTCAGGAGTTGAATCGCTTCGCTGCTGGCATTCGGAACTAGAGTCTTTAAGTTATTGGGCACGCACTGCGGCCAGCGGAAGTTCATAGCACTCGAAAGTTGGTAGCCTTCCGGCCAGTCGGTCTGAAAGAAGGAAAACACAGAAAACCTTGCTCAGCCAACCTGCGGGGACAGGAGTTGGTGCGCCAGCTTGTGTGTCTGCGACAGAAAAAAAAATCACGTCACTGCCACGCCACACCCACCTGCGTGGCACGGTGCAGTGACTGACACACGGGAGAACGCTGACGGGGAGGCTAGAAGTACATGAAGTCGGGGAAAGAGTGGGAGGGACATGGATTTGCCACCAACTTGTTTGATAACCTTACCACAAGGCAGTTCCTTTCGAGATTTGAGGGTTGAACCAAATTACTGTTTTCCCAATTGTGTTCCATAAGACAGAGGTTTTGGAAACTGCTAGTGAGACATATTTGGGGGGGTGGGGAGAATAAAACAAAACACTTTGTCCTCAATTAAATAAATTTGCCAAAATCTGCATATCCCCATCTTGATGATTCAAAACACACATGCTGAGAAGTCAGTCCAGCCGTAAAGAAAGCTGTCCCACCCAATCTCAAACTCTCTACTGTTCCACCCTCAAACCTGAAAGGACAAAGCCGGCCCCATTTGCTATTGTGGCACCATTTGCCTAGCAGGCCTGTGACCTTGTTAAACGTGACTGCCACTTTACTCTTTTCAGCTTGTCCCCAGGACTGGAAACTACTGGAAGAACAGAACTACCAGGTCCCTGCAGCCATAGGCAGAAGACCACGTGAACAGGAACTGCAGCCTCTGGTTACAGTCCCTCCACTGGAACTCCCAACAGCCCGGGGGCCACACAGCAGTCCCCCCCACCCTTTCTTAATCCACTACAAACTCAAAGCCTCCAGCCATGGAGGCTGGCATATCTCTCCACACCGTGCCCCTCTCTTTTCTTGGAGAGTGAGTAAAAACTTTATTCTCTACACTTTCCTCTCTTTGTGAATTCTTTCCCAGCCCGTGTCACTGACCACCTTAACAATACTAAATACAGGAGTGAAGGACAGGAAAAAAAATGCACAGATAATTTTTAGGTTTCCTTGTAGTTCCAACACTCCACTACTTTACAACATATTCTGGTATAGTTGCTTTTTTTAAAGCCAGGTGAAAGTGGCATTGCACGTTGTTTATAACACTCATTCACTTAGACAGTCACTGCACGCCCACTACAGGTGCAGCGCTGGGTATCCAAAAAGAATGTGATATCAGTCCTTCCCTTAAGGATATCGCTGTCCAAAGGAGAAAATAAGATGTTTACATAAAAACAATAACACAGAATAAAAAGTAACGCAGGTCACAAGAGAGGCACAGATACAGTCATCCGGAAGAGAGAGGGAGTCCAGCAGGAAGGGGACTGGAAATCTTAAAGAGGTGCCATGAACGACTCGTTCAAATGGCTTAATAATTTTTTTTTGAGAGACTGGTTTGTATCAGCCATGGTGCCAGGACCTGGAAAAAGCAACACAAATATACAGGAGACAAACCCTTGCCCCGAATGAGTGAATCAGGAAACAGGTATGCACACGGACAACTACACTAACACTGACCCCTCGGAAGGTGGGGCGGAGACTGGAGGAGCAGTGAGGGGAAGGTTCTGGCAGGGCCTCGGAGGAGTGTGCTGGGCCTCAGGGACCTTCAGCTGGGCAGGGTGTGTGTGTGCGGAGCACTGCGGTGGGAAGACTCCAGGGCACCGAGCGGGCCGGGGGTACAGGTTTGGGGCTGCAGGTGTGAATGAGGGACAAGGGTGACATTTAAGGGGGCTGGGTGATAGGAAGCCAGCAAATCTTTTGAGGAGGGAGGTAGAGTACCAGAGCTGTTCTTTAAGAAGGTGCGCTGGCTGCAGACTGAAGGATACATTGGAGGGCAAAGACTTGAAGGCAGGGAGGGCGAGCACGGCCCAGTCTGGGGTGGAGGTGGTGGCGCACTCCAAGGACGAGAGCCACGTGAGAGACTGTGCAGCAATATTCAACAGGGTTTAAGGACCCAATGCTCAGGTAAGGGGAAGAGGAATAAGGAGAAGAGAGAAGATCAAAGGGAAATGCAGCCTCAAGGCTGGGGCTCTGGGATCAGGATAGGATCGCAGATGGACACGGAGAATGAAGGAAGGACACCAGCTGGGGGCAAACAAAAAGAGGTTGGGTGCACCTTGAACTTGTACAACAATGTGTGTCAACTATGTCTCAGCACGATGGAAAGAAATCCCATAAGCAGTGATGATGTAAAACAATAAAACACATAAATGACTAATTTAGAAGTAACTAAAGTATAGAACACAACATGCAAGGTCAGAAGCACATAAAACATCCCAACGTGTCTGTGTTCTCTGGAAGAAGTTTCTGGAAAAGGCGCACTGTGTCAGACGTGCTGAGTCTGAGGTGGCGGGAGGGTGGCGGGAGGCAACCTCAGAGGGTTGTACCCGTGCGAATGGAGCTACGAAGGAGGGAGACGCGGGCTGCAGGTCACAGGTAGGAGACTTCTGAACAGCTTACAAGGGCTGCAGCCGTGACAGCAGAGAAACTCAGCAAGGCAGGCGAGGCGCCACAGAGAAACCAGCAGAGGGAGCTGTGACAAGTGTCTTCTACTGGAGAGCAGGAGGAGGGAACCCGGCGGCTGTGTCTGAGAACGTGGGCAGTGGAGGGTCCCTGAGGTTGAGGGAGCGATTCTAGGATGGCAGGTGATCACCGTGCCAGCACTGCACGGGGTGGGGGCCAGAGGGACGGCGAGCTGGCTGCGGCCCACAAGCCTTTGTTCCGCGTCATTACCTTTTTCGGAGTCCCCAGTACTTGGCAAATTTTGAAGATTGTGTCAATTTCACTGGCCCCGGGGAAGAGCGGCCTGAGGGTGTACACTTCGGCCATGATGCAGCCCACGGCCCAGATGTCGATGGGGGAGCTGTAGTTGGTGGACCTCAGGAGCACTTCCGGAGCCCTGTACCTGGAGGCACAAAGGCGACCTGCCTGTTATTGCTCCCACTGGCCAGAAGCAAACTAAACAAGTCATCAGTTCTCAGCGACAGAGTTTATACATGTCCACTTTCTGTCTAGTTCAGAGTGGCACACGCACACACGAGCACTGCCAACCGCTGCGGCTGCCGTGGCAAACAGGGCTTCTCTGTCCTACGGTATTTTCTACCGAGTGTGTCTCTACAGGACTCCTCTCTGTAGACACTTTGAGAAACAGAGAGTGAGGGTAAAAGCGAGGAAAAGAGGGAGTGTGAGAGAAGAGGAAAAGGGAGGGAGAGAACACGAAACCTGTTGTCTGTAGGCTACCTCTTGGTCACGGCCAACTGCTTACATCGGATCCTTAGGGTCTGGAAGTTTGAATAGCAATAATCTAGCTATTCAGACAGGTCTTTGGAGAATCTTTCATACAACTATCTTAGTAAACGGTCTTTAGGAAGGTCTACGAAATACTATTTGTATTATGGAAAAGCATAACAGACTTCCTTTGAAAATTATTTACAACACAAGCTTTTAAACCTCGCACGATGCCAACATACCTACAAATGCATGTTTTAAACTGCACCGTTTCTTAGTGAAAAGTTCATGTTTGTGACATTATTATCCTCAGTATAGTGACATAGATTTAAACAAATGTAATTAAATAATTTTGAGGAAAATGGTATTCACCATCTGGTAGACACATAATCTGTGTAGGGAGGTCTTGATCGGATTTCTCGGGCCAATCCAAAGTCTGCGATTTTCACGAGTTCTGGTCCCATGCAGAGGAGGTTCTCGGGCTTTAGGTCCCGATGGAAGAAGCCTGGAGAGATAGTGGAGAAGGAATCCACGGGCGAGCTTGCTTCTGCATTAGTCTTTGCAGCTCTACTGCCCTTGTCATAAAAGCTATAATTTCAAAAGTAGTCTGGCGTGACACTGAAGCCGCTATACACTCGTCCCACTGATAACGCGGAGTCCCCTGGACCTCTCAAAGGACTTCATTCATTTCCCTTTGATGAATTCAAAATGTAAAATTATTCCAAAGTTGACCTTCATAATTTTTTTTTTGCCAAGGGAGAAAACTTCTTTTAAAATATCGAAACACAGTTATGGGCTGAGATAACTTTGCAAAAAGAAATTGTCATCTAAGGAAAAAATATTTCAAAAGAAAAGTCTTATGGGTACTGAGAGTTTATACCACAGCAGAAACACAATTACAACTTTTGTTCAAGAAACAAGGGATTTCTGAATATGACTTCCTCATAGCTGAGACTCTGGTATGTGCTGCAACAGATGTTTAAATGTTAAATACTACTTGGCCTAATGAAGAAGGACAGGTACAGCTGCAGCTCACATCAGGAGAGGCAAAGAAAGGTAACTCGTCACGTGGGAAGCAGGTCTCAGCTACAGCAAAGCTCTGGGAGCCACCCAACCTGCCAGCCTTCTGGGTGCACCCAGACAGCCACTGAGTAGTGACACATGGCTCTGAAAACCCAGAGCCCTCCCCTTACATAGAGTCTCACTGAAAAACACATTATTGTATATTACTGTACCCTAAACTCAATGGAACACCCAAACTGGAAATTCAACCCCATTTCAACACCATTTAGTTAATGCTGCTAAATGGTATTAGTTGTTATGCGCTATTACCAAGGTTGTGAAAATTGGGTCCTAACTAGCACATTATGGGAGAGATTAATGGCCCTCATTGAAGATCTTCACTGTTGCTCAACCACCTCTATGCTGGCAATACCCCATCTCCGCATCTACTGCGCCTTCTCCACCCTTTCCTAGACCTGCGTGTCTAATGACAGCACTGATGTCACTGCCATCCCACAGCAACCCGCCCCAGCCACCTGTCCTTGAACCTTTGACAAGATGCCCAGACACCTTGTGGTGAGGCTGGACCCACCTCTCCCCAAACAGTCCTGAACTGTCACCTTTTTCACTGAAATACCTGCTATCTGTCCTGCGTGCCCTTTTCGGGCCACTGCCCCTGTGCTGCCACTTTCAAGCAGGCCTCCCTCGCTGTGGCCTGTCTGATTCTCACCCTCCTCACTACTTAAACTCTGTCTTTCCCTTGTCAATGTCCCATCCACACGCACACACACACAAACCTTCCATGGCTCCTTGCTAAATTATTTCACAAGGCTGAACTCCTTCCAGTCTATCTAAAGAGATAAATTCATTTCCCAATACTCACCACCAATATGTGTAAAGCGTGTCCCGATCAGGGTCACTGTACTGATCCCCTGTAACAACGTGGTACCCTTGCACTCTTTGTCCCTACTGATCCCAACCTCCGTCATCCAGACTTCGCTTCATTCTCTATTTTGCCATTGTACCAATGAATATGTAATGGCCTCCCTCACACCAACTTCTTAAGTATTGTAATCAGATTAAGAGTAAGTTAAACCTAAACTATAGGAAGAACCAAACTTGAGGCTGTGAACTCAATAAATTCAAACAATAATTAATTCAGTGTTAGTCAAAAATGGCCTTCAAAACAAAAGAAAGAATTTCTGTTGTAGGCAAATTTGGACGGCCTGTTCTCAGCCTAATTAAACAAAGATGGTCGACGCCCACCGAGTGGGCGAGGTCTAAGACTTAGTGCATCTGAGTCATTGTGCTCGGACCTTCTGCTCTTCAGAGCGCCACCCAGCTGCCAGGAGGCCTGACTGCATGTTCACTGCACCTCGGACGTGACTTAAGAATGTGAAACCGCTCAAGCAATTATTAGAAAGTATCTTTTGTCAATGCACCCAGGAAGACTCCCGTGGCCCCTTAAAATGTATGAACCATGAGCCCATGGTTTCTCTTCCTAAAAACTCAGAGCATTGGAAACACCCCAGTGAGGATGAAATGGTGGGCATTGTTTTCTTACTGAGCAGATGGGAAAAGCGAGTCACGGTGGGTGGGTGAATTACAATCCTACCAAGAAATGTGTCACAGCTGTTATACTAGGGAGCTCTATTCTGTCCCCCTCAATGCACATAGCTGTGCATTTGTGGTTCTGGTCCTCTCAAGTCCGGATTAGCTGTTTCTCCTCTTAGACTCCACTTTTCTCCTTTTGTTGAGCTAATATTGTTTCCAAACTTATGTGGCATCTCTCTTATAATGAGTCGTTTGTCCTCCAGCTCCCAAGCCCCACTGCCACCACCCACAACACCCCTCGACAAATTTGCATCTTCTCCTATTCTGTTCATCCCATCACTTCGACTTGTACTCAGATACAAGGATTCTTTTTTAAAATTGTATTTTACTGACTATGTTATTACAGTTGTCCTGATTTTTCCCCCTTTGCCTCCCTGCACCCAGCACCTTCCAGTCCCTCAGGCACCCCCCCCACCATTGTTCCTGTCCATTGTTCATGCTTATAAGTCCTTTGGCTATTCCATTTCCTGCACTGTACTCTACATCCCCCTGGCTACTCTGTAACTGCCTATTTGTACTTCTCAATCCCCTCACCTCTTCACCCCTTCACCCACTCCCCCACACTGGCAACCATCTCCCATCTGGCAACCATCAAAACAATCTCTGTATCCATGATTATGTCTCCATTCCTGTTTGCTTAGTCTTTTTTTTCAGATTGAATTACTGATAGATATGTATTTATTGCCATTTTATTGTTCATAGTTTTGATCTTTTTTTAAGATAAGTCCCTTTACCATTTCATATAATAATGGTTTGGTGATGATGAAATCCTTTAGTTTTTCTTGTCTGGAAGCTTTTTACCTGCTCTTTGATCCTAAATATCTTTGCTGGGCAAAGCAGTCTTGGCTGTAGGGCCCTGCTTTTCATGACTTTGAATATTTCTTGCTAGTAGCTTCTAGTCTGCAATGTTTCTTTTGAGAAATCAGGTGTGTCCCTCATGTGGGCAGAGTACACCCTCCTCTGGTAGTTGATACTTTACTGCTGTTGGCAGGTCAGTGAGGCCAGTCAGGTGCAAGGACTGGCTGTGACCACTGACCACCAACCTCCACCCTCTGTGGAGGATCAGCCGTACAGGGCAGGGTGGCGGTGCTCCACCGTGGTCTATAACTGTCCACTGGGTGCACAGGCTCTAGGGTTTTCTGGGTGGTGCTGACCAAGGTCAGCCCCCACCTCTGTTTTGCCCAGGGCCACCCTGCCTGAGCTATAAAGCAATCTGAGATGGCTGCTACTTGTACTGGGCTTGGAGATTTCCAGGCAAAGCCAAGCTGTGAATCTAGTCTGGTCATTGCTGGTGTAGGGCCTAGGGCTCACTGAGGCTGGCTGTTATTTGGTAGGATTTAGGAAGCTGTGAAGTTAGCCAAGACCAAAGATTCATATGGAAAAGCAGTTTGGGTGGGCCCATAAATTGGGTGGGATAAGGTCTTTGGGGATCTCCACGGCCAGGCAAACAGTGTTAGCCAGGTCGATAGAGACTCAGATATGGCACCCGCCTGCGGGCTCTGTGGCTCTGCGAGGGGAAGGTTTGCAAAGGGACCACAGCCTCTGCTGGCCTTTCTGTCTGGGCACAAGCTGCCCTCCAGCTCTCGTCTGGATGCCAGATACTTCAGTTCCTCCCTGTGTGCCACTGGTGTCTTTCAAGCTACTACTCTGGTGCTGGAGCTCAGAGGGACTGAGCCTGGGTAGTGAGTCCCTGTGTGAATTCTTTAAGGGGAACTGCTTGGGACTCCAGAATTTTCTTCTACCGACTCTGTCCTCACTGGTTTGTGCAGCCATAAGTTATGGGGACTTATTTTCCTGGCACTGGGACCCTGGCTAGGAGCCCTGCTATGGGGCTGGAACTCCTCATTCCCAAAATGTCCCTTCCAAAATTTTATCCATCACATGTACACATGGGACCAGCTCGTTCCCTATCTCCGCCCCTGCTACCAATCTAGATGGATGTGGTTTCTTTAATTCTGTAGTTGTCAGACTGCCATTCTACTCAATTTCTGACAGTTCTGAGTGATGATTGTGTATTTTAGTTGTAATTTAGATGTGGTTGTGTGAGGAGGCGAGCTGTGTTTACCTGTGCTGCCACCCTGACTGGAAGTCGCAACTATTCTTGCACTGCAGGAATTAAATATCCTTGCTTCCACCCTGGGTTGTGCTCCCGGAAACACAGACCATCTCCTCCCACCAGCCGGACTTTCCCTCACTGCTCACTCGTCTTTAATTCCACTTCCACAAGGACATGTGCACTAATGAAATGGGGAGAAAGAAGATTCTGGTTCCCATGTGTCCCTCAAAGCAGCTTTCTTTTCTATGGATCATACTTCAGGCCCCAAATAAACAATCAGAGGGAAAATGGCCAGGAAAAACAACGAACTGCAAACAGACTCTACAACTGGCTGGTGAAAACTGTATCTGTCAGTTGACATATGCTGTCTGTTGCACCGTCATAAGCCTTTACAACTAGGAACATTCATGAGTGTGTCTGCAGGATGCAGCCCTCTGCTCTCTTCATCACTGAATAATGAGCTCTATTCCTTGATAATTAAAAATATAATAACCTCATGTCATGTATATTTACTTTTCATCACTATTTTAATAAAACATTACTATTTCTATATGACAGGCAATACTGTATGGTGGTTAAGTGTACAGACCAATCAGATTGGCCAATTTCAAATCCCAATTCTGTTCACTGGCTGGCAAATCACTTAACCTCTCTGCCTCTCTTCCCCCATCTGTAAAATGGGGAAATAAAGGCATCTATCTCATGGGCTTTGTTATGCAGGATTCGATGTGTTAGTATCTGTGAAGCTCTTAGAACAGAGTTTAGCACATTGGCACCTTGCTAGAGCTTGCTGTTATCAGTAGTACGAATCCTCTCATGTTCTCTTCCCAACAACCCGGTAAAGTGCAGAGGCAGACACAGCTCCACGTTTGCAGATAAGAGTCAAAGCTCACGGGGCTAATGATGTGCCCCATGACCTGTGAGGAGGTGGTGCTACGCTCTGAACTGACTCTGGGCAAGGTCCACGTTCTGCGGATGTGTGCACTGGGCCTGTGACAAGAGTCCACTTCTTCCTCTGCCCTTCTGATTCACAGTGCAAACCTGTATAGCTGGGTCAACACACAGCAAAGTGCTATTAAGATAAGAACTTTCCTGTTCAAAGTGTCTGGCTTTCATAATTCAGGTATTGAACAGCCCTTCAATTTAATTTCAGGGTACCCCATGCCAACTGAATAACAAAGGGATTTTCTCTTTCATCCTGGCAGAAAATGTGTTATGCTTACTTTTCATTATGAACCCTGGGGCAAGGAAACCATCAGCCACAAAGAAGGCCTTCTCCCCTCTGCCACATTCTGTTACCGATGAACCTGATATGAACATCTGAAATTAACCAGAGAATACTTAGACACTGTGATGTGTGTAGCATACCTTTCTGTGATGGAAGTTATAATTTCACAGGTATTACTACGTTTAAACCTACACAATGTTTTTATAAAGAAGGCCACAAGGACAGCCACACACAGAAAGGCCAAGGGCAACTCGAGGTCATGCACAGGCAGACAGTGGTAAAGCACAGAAGCAGAGAGCTACTTCCCGGGGCAAAACACTGTTCTCCAAGCCCCCTAGTGCATTTCTGATTGCTGGCATGGATAAGTGTGACCTGAATATTTGTAAGGGCAGGTTAAGGATGACAAACAGCGTGCATTAATTATTTAATTCCTGCAAAGTGCATATGCTTTGGCATTGCTCAGTCAGCCCCAAGCAGAATCATGCTTTCATTCCCTGTGCGGGGAAAGTCTCAGTGACAGGAACTATGGCCATAGCAACACCTGCAGTGCTGCTGTCCCCTCCCACAGGAGTGTCCTCCCTGGGGGCAGAATGCGCCTCTGCATGAGGAGAGCGAGCTACCAGAGCAGAGCCTGAAAATCACCTGAGAGATCTGTGAAGTGCTTCATGTTATTATTGTTATTTTTACCATTACCAGAGGAAAGAAATAATATGGAGTTACATGTGCAGTTAACCAAAGTCAAATACTATATAAATGCCATTTAAAAGTTTCCAAAAATCATTTATCAACAAAAACGAGGTAGGACCTATAAAATTAGCATCAACCTACAGTTATCATCACTATTTTTTTAACCTCTTACTCTCTTGTTTGCTTTGAGGACAGGTTTTTCTAGTAAAGCAGAGTTAATGGGCGCAGGTGTCTGAGCTAATCTCTGCTCTACCACTTTATTACAGTGGGGCCTGCGAGAGCACTTTAAACCTCTCTGAACCTCTTTGGAAGGAAAAGATACCACCTTTCCTTTCTACATGAGAAATTGGCATGGAAATAAAGCAACAGATGAAACGTTATTAAGTTACAACTAGAACTGGATACGTAGCAGCTGGGGTTCTAGAAGTACAGATGGTTGGACCTTCTCAATAAACTGAGCTTCCAATATACTATCTGAGTGTCTACGACATATCAAGGGAAACTAACAGTGCGGAGTTCCAAAGGGCTGATTTGAAACAACAGTGTATGGAAGCTAAATTATTGGATGTAAATATATATTGTGTGTGCACACATACATGTGCCTTTGTGCAAGGATGTGTGTAGGGGAGTATTTCTGTAGATACATGTACATGATGGTTTGTGTGCATGGAGATATGTATGCACATGTATGAGGGCACATAGGTAGATAGACAGGCTACCTATGGGTAGGTAGATAGCTAGATAGGCTAGGTCTCTACCTAGCCTATTCGTCAGATAGGCTAGGTAGAGACCTGGATAAAAGGCTACATGTTCTTTCTGGCAACAAATATCTGAGTCACATAAAAGCAGCAAAAAACACAATAAAAGGAAGCCAAAGACTGTCAACTTTGTTTCAGGTCTCCTGCTCAGCTGGTAGCACTGAAAACAGCCCAAGCAATTGAGATGCTATGACTGGTCCACAATGAAAACATTCTGGTTGACCTTTCTCTTTTGAGAATTTCTTTGACTTCTTGTCATTTCTTTTTCCTGGACTCCTACATCTAATAAGTGACTCTTCTCAGCCCCATCTGTCCCTGATGTCTTACTATAAGTTTTTCACATTTTGCAAATTCATATCATCCCTTGTGAATTCTGGTGACTGTGGGCTAAAGTGCAAGCTTGATCAATCTCAGCAGAAGCAGACATATCTTTACTAAAAACTTTGTCCTAGAATTGGTTTACCTGTTGACTCAGTCTTGCAATTACGCGCTGATTATTCAGCATGTGCCTGAGGCTGACAAGAACTTGCACAGATAGCTTCCGTCTGTTGTTTGCATTTCATTTAGTCTCTAACTGTGAGAGGGCACTTAAGGGCTGAAGAACCACCCCGATGGACTGTGACCCATGCTGTGGCACAATGTCTTTTCTACTCACTACCAATTTGTGTCAAATCTGAACTGACTGTATGATCAAAGTGTTTCCACACAGCTTCCTTTTGGAGTAGTGAAACTCATTGTTGGTGTAGTATTTGCAATGGATGGCAATGATATGCTTAGATTGGGAGTGAATGGTTTCTGTCTGTGCAAGATTAGCCACTTTGCCCACCTGTCTATGTATCAAAGTGACCTCAAGTCACCTCCTGAGGGGCCTCCAGGCTCTACTGATGAACACGTCCCTCCCATGGCTCTGTGCTCACCAGAAGGTATCCATCTGACCACAGGTGGGTCTGCGTCCAGTTAGTAACAAAGACTAGTAATGCCCCAGATACCTGCTGGAAAATATAACCTCAAACTCATTGCTAATCAGTCTCTTTCAAAATCTCAGCTAAGAAGAGCAACAGTGTCAGAGGATTTCCTGAAGGGTATGTGGCCATCCATTCCTCGAGATCAGCAATTTTCAACCAGAGCGCTGTCCGAATTTGTAAAACATGCAATACCTGACTATTTAGTCAGGGGCACTGACCTTGTTTCTCTTGGGTTGTCAGATTGTCAAATAAAAAATGACACCAGCCAACACAATAATAGCTGTCTGGTGTAAATAAATCAAAATAATACGTATTTTTTGTTAGATCGGGAAAAATATGGTTTTTGGTGTAGTTCATGCATGCCATGGGAAGGAAAGGTTGAAAATTGCTGCTCTAGGTACTCTACATCTTCCCTTGGACTAGGCAGACGCCCCTAGAGGGAATTATACTGAGCCTCAGCAGAACTGTCTTCTCTGATCAGGTGATATAATTGTCCTATATTGAGGGACATGACATGAAACTAACCCATCACTATGTTTACCATGAAGTCCCCTCAACAAGGGCACATGTAAGAGAACCTCTTTTGTCTTGGTACCAGGAATAGCTCTGCTTCTCTTGGGCAACTGGACTGTTTTTACTTTGGGGAAACTGCGTTGCTTGTAATTGGTCATGTTTCACATTTTGCGTCGTCAGAAAGCAAGCTCAGCATCAAATCCATAGCTGCTTCTTTGACTTAAACACAACATGCTGATATGCATCTTGTGGATCAACCCCTCCCCTGGCTAGAGCTATAACGTGTTTTGCCTGTGCCCTTGTCTTTCTTTTCTAATTTTTAATCATTTTACTTTCCTGTGTTAGACTATTTTTGAGCCCTTTTGAGTAAACTGATATATAAATACATTAGGAAAATGAGAAGCCACAGTAAATCCATGTTAGCTACTGAGTTGAACATAGTATGTGAAACTTCTCTAAATCCTAATCTTAGGTTTCTCATTAATACACCAGTTAATGATCAGGAATAATTTTAGATCTATAACTAACAAGCTTAATGCTAAAGCCTAAAGAATAAGAATACACAGACATGATAAATAATGAGGAATATTCAGAAATCCAGTAACGGAAGATAATGTATTCCAAAATCCACTGTCAGCCTCTCAATTCTTTAACCTTTACTGGGAATCAGTTACAAAAGACACCGAAGCTTCCTACCTACATCTACCTGATGACAACATTTTGCTGCATCCACAAGAACAGTAACCCAAATCACCTACCGTGTTTGTGAATAAATGCAAGTCCTTGCAATATCTGATACATGATATTCCTTATAGCAGACTCAGGAAACAGCTTATTTCTGTATGGAGCAGAGGAAAAGAGTTACAAACCTAGATTTACAAATGAAAATGGATTCATTTTGGTTATACGGTTAGAACTTAGGAAAATACTAGCCTACGTGCTAATTTGAGCAGATCCTTTGATAATAAAGAACAGAGAAAAACAGCCATAAATGCATACAAGAAAATGACCTGACATACCCCAAATATATTGAGTTATGTTAGAAAGCAGTGATGAAATATGTTATAGTAAACCCCCTCAATACAATTCCCTCTAATGTAGCATATAAAAATCTCCTCTCTCCATCATAGAAGCTATAACTTAAAAACATTTAACAGGGAACCCTTGAGGCTTTATGACATGTAGTAGACAGTAACATTTTCTTTCCCCTGGTGGGCAAACGATGCAGCTCCCCTGCCCTTATGGACCATGAGGACGACACTTGTTCTCCAGAATCACTGAGGGGTGCTGTGAATGGTTTCCACTCGCCACCAAGAGAATGTGTCCAAGAGGTCCTACACACGTCACTTTTAAAGTTCATGACTGCCATAGCAGGTAAGTTTTTTATGAGTCTTCTCCACCCAGCACGCAGGCCCCTGAGCACTGCGGCGAGAAAGGAACTGAAATAAACCAGACGTTTCCGATGGAGGTCTTGAAATGAATGAAGCTATTACACTCCCCGACTTGTAGCTGCTCTGCCCCACGTGTCCTTGTGGGAAGAGAGAACTGCAGAGTATCTGTTCAATACCTTCTTTGGGAGAATAGCCCATTAAAACATGAAAACGGCTTCACTGAAACTAGCTTCTATGAAGCGAGGCATTTAAAATAGGAATGCGGGTCGGGCCCCTCACCTGATGGGCAGTTCTCAACAGCAGAGCCTAAGCAACATGACTGAAAAACCAGGGAGAAAACACGTCCACTTGGCAATATTTGGCTCTAAGATCATGAAAACCAAACCATACCTTTCTTTAATGAGCTGGTAAAGATTTTCCTTCATGTACTCAAAGATAAAATAGAGATGATCATTTTCCCTGATAACTTCTTTTAATTTTACTATATTGGCATGGTTGAGTTTCTTTAAAGACTAAAAAGAAAGGCAGAAAAACAAAAAATTAGAGGAAAAAACCTGTTGTTGAAAAAGAAAAATACCCTGTGTAGATATACTCGGGAAGAAACACCTAGTTCAAAAGCTACAGAAATACCACAAGTCATATTCTAACAATAAATTAATAAATGGTGTTCCTATGAAATCAATAGTAACTTTACATGGGACAGCTATCTTGATGAACTGACTGGAAGGTCAATTCGACCTTGACCAGTATTTCTGGCTGCCATCAGCACCGGGCCGTGGGCCAGGGCTGTCTTCGGTGCATTCCATCCAGATAACAGAATTCCCGCCCGGGAGGCGGAGACAGAAATCAGTTGGCAGGTGAGGCTTTGCTTGCTGTAGTATAGACACACCTCATTTCACTGCACTTCACTGTACTGGGCTTCACAGACGTGGTGTTTTTTATAAATTGAAGGCCAAGACCCTCCACCAGCAAAAAGATTACAACTTGCTCTATTGCTGTGCCCTGAAAATGAACCCACCACATCTCAGGGGTATGCCAGTATCGGAAAAGGCAGCTACTTTGGGACAAAATCACCAGTTAACAGTCTGCAGACATTATGAACAAGAAATTGTTTAAAGAGAAGCCAGTAGCCTGATTCTGTCAGCTCCCATCTGCCTCACGAGTGTCCAGGAGACATGCAACGCTCCTTATAGCGTGGGTTCTGGAGGAAGGGAAATGGAAATCTCATTGGAAAGACCCTGAAGTGACATGGGAGACAGATCTCTGCTCCAAAGAATAGCAGAGGCAATAAGTCAGGCACAAGGGACAAGAGAATGACTCAGAAAATGACGCGTGACCTTACTGTCCAGCCTCGCGCACACACACAGCTGTCCTCCTGCAGGGACACACACATGAGTGCACACAGCCGCGTGCAAACTGTTTTTTGCTTGCCTCCCTAGTTCTGTCACTGGGGAGCAGCAGCCCTGTTTGTGGATAATGACCAGAGATGCCCGGCCACTGGTTTGCTCACTAGCTGATTAGAATTTGATAGACTGGCTCCTTCCAGGAAGCCTCAGAGGGTTCCTCTGGCCAGTGGGATGAGCCCTCTAATTCAAAAAGCCTCTTCCTCACAGAGAAGTGAGTCCAATCATACTATACTGTAAAGCCCTCTTTACGTTTGAATTTCCTTAAAAGGACATCCCTTTTATAAAACAAACACAATATCTGAAGATGAAAATGTCAACATTTCCAGCTCTGGAAGGACACTCAGTAAGAAGGTGGTACCCCAGGGATCAGAGCTTGGGAATGTGTAATATGATCAAGTTATTTCAAGCAGCCGGGCAGAGGGAAGACTGTCGCCAGTGAATGAGAACAAAATAAGGCTTTTCTGGAGCCTCTTCCCTGAAGGACAAGCCCCTGCCAAGATGCTTCTCCAAAAGGAAATACTCAGCTGCTTTGGCCAAAAGGACAGATCCTTCTAGAATGGCCCAGCCAGGCTGATTACTTCTTTTAGCTGGCTGCATTCCTGGTTCTCCACGGGTAACAAAAACAAACATTGCTTAACTTGTAAGTAGCATCCCTGGGACTCTCACAGGCTGCAGCCATCTTTTCTGCCTGTTCGCTTCAACTGCATCCCAAGCCATGGCTGGGATATCCGGTGGACGAGCAGCAAGTGTGTTAAGAGGAAAATGAAGTTTTAAAAGTTTTCCAGAAGAGAACTCTGGGCAAGGAGTAGGATACCTCCTGCCGTGAGCCTGAAGTGTGCTCTGGCATGGGTGACTGGCCCGAGTCTGAGAGTGGCTCTCAGCTCTTGTTTCTAAGGGAGGCTCGGGAGCAAGTTAAAGTCTGTATTGGTTCAATATAAAAAGAACTAATTTGGTGTGGAGGACTTCGTGTGATTCATTTTACAGAGATATTATCTCCAGAAAGAAGGCATCTTACTTTGGCTCAGGAGAGGCTTACGAAGGAGAGGAGGAGGCAGGATGGCCACATCGGCCAGAGAAGCAGAAGCTGCAAATTAAACCCGGGGCTGTGGTCTGAGTAGGGACTGTTTCCCCTGTGCATGAATGTTCTTGACTACGAACACGACTACAGTAAGTACCCACTTAATGTCATCGATAGGTTCTTGGAACTGCAGTGAAACAACGTACAAAGAAACCAATTTTATCACAGGGTCATTGATATAAACACAAGTTAAGTTCCTATGGCTTCTCATCCATGCCATAAAAAAAGGACACAGGATGAAAGGACATTATTTGAGGACCTGCTGTACAATGTTCCGAGCCCCAGGGATACTCCGGGCATAAGACACAGTGCCTGCCCTTCAGAGGCAAACAACCCAATTTAGAAGCGAGGACACAATACATGTGACAAAATAAAGATCATCTTAAGGGTCAAAGAAATGACAGAGACAAGGAACATCAGAGACGTTTCAAGAAGGAGTAATCGTTAAACCCTGAGTAGTCAGGGAGTACCACTAAGAAACACCTAGACACCGCAGTGGGAGGGAAAGGGTGTGTCCGGAGCGGAGCCCTCACAGGTGAGGGTGTGGGGGTGGAGTGTATTGTCTATGTCTGAGGAATAAGAATCGCCCCTGTTGGGTTCCAAAGGAAGATCATCTGGAAGACACTCCCTGGATGCCATGTGGATACCCACTGAAGCCTTCCCACGAACCTGGGTTTGAAACCAAACTGCATGGCTTAAAGCTGTGTCTACCTCAAGCAACTTATTGAGCCTGGGCCTCAGCTGTTCTCATGGGCGAACTCAAGATACTAACACTTTCCACATCAGGTAGTTGTGGGGATGAAATAAGACAGTGTGTGCAGGGCACCTAAGGCACTTCCTGGCCCGTAAGAGCCCCTCGGTAAACGGAAGACAGTGTATGAGCAGCTGGGTGTCATGGAAGCCATTCTGGCAGCAGCACACAGGATGGAGGAGACGTGTGGAAAGTGGGTCTGCACAGGCCACCTGAAGGGGTTTCTGGGTAAATGAAAATTGACAAAAGGGGGAGAAAATAGGAGCGCTGAGGGATGCAGACGTTCTAAAAAACTCAGGTACTGATACTCACTAAGCAGTTGGATATGGGGGCCTGAAGCAGGGGCAGGAAAACTTTTCTCCAAAAGGACAGAGAGTGAATACTTCAACTGTGCCATCATAACACGAAGTCAGCCATAAACAATATGCAAACAAATGGACACGGCTGTGTTCCAACATAGTTTTACTTACAAAACCAGAATGTGGGCCATTTGTTAATCCCTGGTCTAACACATATGATAAGAGGTTTGATGAGACATTTACTCAGGGGTTGAGTCAGAGCAAAGGAAAAATTGCTAAGACCAGAATGGAAGAAATCACTGATATTTAAGGGATGGGCCATAGAAGAACTGGTGAAAGGCAAGAAAAAGGTAGGACAGCTAAGCAGAAGCAGAGTCACACAGCCCTGGGAGAGAAGAGGAAGAAGTGGTCAACAGCACCCAGCACTGCAGGCAAGAAAGTACCTGAGAAAATGGCCCTGGACTTGCTAACTGCTGACTTAAAAGGAGCAGCTTCCGCAGTGTCTCAGAAAGATGCCTGACTCACGTCAGTGGAAAGTCAGTGGTAGGTGGGCAATGGTGGCGAAAGGGGTGGTTTGGAAGGCAAGGAAAGGGGTGGAAGCTCAAGGGGAGAAGGCGCTGAGGCTGATTACAGAGAATGGCAGGCACATTTACAGACTGAAGAGAAGGAGCCAGTGGGAAGGAAGTTTAAAGAAATGGGGAGGTACAACACAGCCAAAAGGTGAGAGCAGCCCAAGTGTCCATCAGTGGATGAATGGATAAACCAAACATGGTATGTCGGTATAATGAAATATGATTTAGCCTTAAACAAGAAGGAAATCCTAACACATGCTACAACATGGATGAACACTGAGCTTCACCCATGCTGTGAAATAAGCCACTCACAAAAAGATAAGTACGAGCATTCCTCAGAGATACCACGGGTTTGTTTCTAAACCACCTCAATGAACGAGTATTGCAATAAAGTGAGTCGGAGGATTTTGGTCTTGCCTTCAATTTGTACAAAATGCCACACCCGTGAAGCACAATAAAATGAGGTCAGCCTGCACAGTGTGATTTCACTTGTAGAACGGTGGTTGCCAGGGGCTGGGGGAGGGGTTGTGGGGAGTTACTGCTTAATGGGTGCAGAGTTTCAGTTCTGCAAGATGAAAAGAGTTCTAGAGATAGACGGTGATAATGGCTGTAAAACAACAGGAATATACACTTAAAAATGGCCAAGATGGTAAATATTATCTTATTTGTATTTCACCACAATTTGAAAGAAAAAACATTAGTGGGAAACTACTGAAATCTAACTAAATCCGATATTTACTTAATAGTAATATAGCAAAATTTAATATAAATATACTCACTAAAAGCATTAGTGTTATCATTTCCCCCCTTTCTTTTGCATCACTGAAACAATTCAAACAGAATGACTATATCAACAATAAGTCTAAGCACATATAACACTATTTTAATGGACTATACATAAATCACTCCATACTGTATTAATAAATACCTTAACCTCCCGAAGATTCATGCATTCCTCCCAGGAATAAAACTTTCTTTTCATTCTAAAAGAGAAGAAAGAAACAAACAGTATGCTTACTCCCAGCCACAGGTTAAACTTTATTCTGAAAAAAAAAAAGTTTTCTTTCTGAACCTAATGAATAGTGCTTAAAACTGGTTTTGATTTCTATCAAATATTATACTATCCAAAACAGCATTCATTTAAAAATCTGGCAGTGCAATCCATCCTGCACCCCCCAATTTCCCAGCAGAGGCGGTGCAGGGCAGCCCAAAGGGGCCTGGTCTGCACTCTCGCTCTGTGGCTGACAGGCGAACCTTGCCCGGGAGGGAGTCCTTGATTCTTGTTTTATTTAGACCAGAGCTGTCCAACGGACCTTTCTGTTGTGCTGGAAATGTTTTGTCTGTCCAGTACGGTGACCACTAGACACATATGGCTACTGAGCACTTGGAATGTGGCTAGTGAAACACAGGAACTGAATTTTAATTCCATTTACATTTAAAGGCCACACACGATTACTTGCTGCCAAGTTAAGCAACACAGTTCTAGGCACGCCAGTACCACCGGGGTCGGCAAGCTATGCCCCGTAGGCCAACTCCGCTCCACACCTGTTTTCCTACAGTCCATGGGCTCAGATGGCTTTTACATTTTTAAATAGTTGGGATTAAAAAATCAATAGAAGGACAATATTTCGTGGCATGTGAAAATTATCTGAAAGTCAAGTGGCAGCTTCCACAAACGACGTTTCACGGGACTGCGACCGCACTCATTCATTTCTGTGTGGTCTATGACCGCCTTCACGCTGCAGCAGCAGAGCTGAGTTGCGACGGGGACCATATGGCCTGCAGAGCCCAAAATATTTACCGTCTGGCTCTGTACAGAACGCGTTTGCCAACCCCGCTCTGGAGCCTGAGGTGAGGAAGAGAAGCCTGTTAGCTAACCAGACACCCAGGTTTCAAGGCTCTATCACTCATCACACTTGAAGCACACTGTCTGGTTTGAATCTCACTGCTGCCCTGTGGAATACGTGGGGCAGGTGAGGCAGCGAAGACAGAGAGAAGCGACACAATTCTCCCAGGATCTCACTGTTGGCTAATAACAGACAAACATTCATCTCTCCACATCACTCTGACACTCCGCCACAGATGTCACATTGTCTCCTGGTTGAGTGACCGATCCCTTTATTCATGCCCCGAATAATTACTTAGCCCCTCCTGTGCAGCAGGGCCTTTGTCAGGCACTGGGGATGCAATGATGAGAGAGACATCCCTCATGGAACTGACATTGTAGCAGGAAGGCAGGTAATTAATCATTTCTGTACTAAGTGCTATGAAGAAAAGGCACAGGGCATTGTGAGAGGGGGCCTCAAGGCGACCTAACCTCGTCTAGGGAAGCAGGACCATTCCCCTAGGGAAGTGATATTTCAACCAAAACCTGATGGATGAGTAGAATTTAGTCTGGTAGGAGGCACGAGAGGCTTGGGGCAGATCTGTACTGGTGAGTTCAAAAAGCTAAAAGGCCGGAGTGGCCAGAACAAAGTGGGCAACAGGTCGTGATAGGAGATACGGCTGAAAAAAACAGGCAGGGCTGAATGAGGCAGCTATTTGTTAAGTCACATTAAAAACCGGGGGCTTGATCCTAAAACTGACAGGAAGACACTGAAAGCTGTTTTAGTTTGAGTTCCCCAAAAAGCAGAGCCTGAGGCAAGGACTCACTCAGGTGCAGGGGGTTTATTTGGGAGGTGATTCCAGGAAGCCAGGGCAAGGAGCAGGGAAACTGGGAACAGAGAGGTAGGAAACCCATTAAAGGGTGCCTTGCTGAGCTGACACCAAGGCGGGTCTCCGGCTGGCTGGGGGCCTTCTCAGGAACCGTGTAGAAGGCACACTGGTGGACAGTGTCCTGCATGTACTTGTGCAGGAATGCTGGTGGCGGGGGTGACACTGGACACCAGAGCACCCTGATATCGGAAGACATGATGGGGCAGCAGAAACACAAAGAATATTCAGCACAAATGGTTTCAGATACTCAGATTCATGATAATTAGATTAGATTTAAAATAATCCCTTCTGCCTGGACTAGATTGGGCTAAGAATGGAAGACTAGAAAACCCTTCAGAGGAAATCACTCCAGTAGCAGAGGTGGTAAATGGTAACGGGTGGAAAGGGAGCTTAGCAGTGGAGTGGAGAGAGGCAGGTGGGTCTGATACCTGGTTAGGAGTTAGAACTGACAGGACTAGTGCACCAGCAGATGCAGGGAAATCAGGAAGACTCCCAGCTTTGGCGGGGATGGTAGCGTCATTTATCAAGATGGAATACTGAAGAAGAAACAGGCTGGGAGCAAAAGCGGAACATGTTGGAGTGTAAGTTCTGCTTAGACACGATGAACCTGAAGTGTCTAGAACATCCAAATGGAGATGTTGAGAACGCACCTGGGTGTGCATGAGTGTGGCAGGCACACTCCAAAGGCCCCCATCTCCTTATGCCCACAACCCGGTATAACCCACGTTCCTTCAATGACTTGCTTCTAACCAACAGAATACGGCAATTAGAAAGGATACCATTTCTGTGCTCAGTTTGAAAGAAACAAAAAGATGTGGCGTCTACTTTGGTAGAGGACTCTCCCTGCTTTCCTGGCTCCCACGTCTTGATGAAGTAAGTTGCCTCCAGCCAACAGCCAACCGGTGGGAACCGAGGCCCTCAGTCCGACAACCCAGGAGGTACCGAGTGCTGCCCGTGATCACGTGAGGGAGCTCAGGAGCAGATCCTTCCCCGATCCAGGTTTAGAAGAAACCCAGTGCCATCCAACACCCTGACTGCAGCCCCGCGAAAGACCCTGGAGCAGAGAACTCAGCTAACCCGTGCCCAGACTCCTGACCCGCTGAAACTGTGAGGTAGTTCTATCAAACTACTAATTCTTGGGGTCAAGTTTACTAATACAATGAGTCTGAACTGAGTGCAAAGGGCAAGTGGGGCTGAGGGAACAAGACAGTACTCACCAGACTGCCACATGTGTAAATGATTCAAATTAGTCACTTAATTTCTCAGTTTCAGTTTCCTTTCCTATGAAATAATATGTATTAACCTGCTTGTTACTACCTCACAAGAGCACTGTGAAAGTACTCTTGAACACACTGAAAAAGTACTAGTGCTATATGCTAAGTGGCAACGTGTTTCAGACCTCCAACACGAGCATCCCAGCGTGGACCAGCACCAAGCCCACAGCCATTGCTGTCTGAGTTCCTGTCCACGCTTCTTGTGCACTCTCCTTTGGAAATGTCTCCAAGACGAGGAGTGGAGAGGGCAGAGTGAGAACAAAGTTGACAATGCACAGCTGAGGATAAATTCATGACAGTGAAGGAAAAAACTTACTTTTTAATGGCAATCAGTTCCCCAGACTCAATGCTTCTTCCCAGCAGGACGGAACCGTAGGTTCCATCCCCGAGCTGCCTGATCGTTGTGTATCTATTCATGGTGCGCCCGCGCAGGCCGGACACTCATCTCAGGGCCGAGGTGGTTCGGTCCGGCAGCGGCGGCAGGCCTCCCCGGAGTGTAACCAGATTTTTCTGTGGCAGCACCCGCACAAGGTATTCAAAAGAACGGGACTATCTCCCAAATACATATTTTCAAAGATCAGTCTTCTGCCTGCAGAGAAAAATCAAGGACAAGGATAAATGCTGATGTATATTTTGAGTTTCTGTATCTTTACAGTCTAAACTGAGAATCAGCAGACTATACCCACCCATCCCCGCCACCTGCTCTTATAAATAAAGTTTTATTGGAACACAGTCCTTCCCATGCAGTTGCATATGGTATATGGCTGCTTTCACACTGCAACAGCAAAGCTGAGTGGTTGTGAAAGACCGCATGGCCCACAAAGTCTTTATTTTCTGACCCATTACAAATTAAGTATGTCAGCCTCTGATCCAAACAAGTTCTTATAAAACAAGTTTTTATAAAACAAGAGAAACCATTCTTGGAAAGTGAACTTTTCACCAGCTCAGAAATGAATCAGCTGCAAGTCCATGCTTCTTTGTTGACTAACCTCTGTAGACAAACCCTGCACAGGAACTATGGTCAATAAAATCTGCTGAGCTCATGCTAAACATACTGTGTTCTATAACTCAGCTACAACTAACAATGTAAACATACTAAAACCAAGAAATGCCAAAATTAAAGTTCTCCTGATTGAGAACTTACATGTGCTCCATGATCTATTTGCAGCAAGTAGTAGTATTTTTACTGCTGTATATTCAGAAGCTAAACAAAGACCAAGTCATTTTTTCAGGCCTACTTCTAGGCTGTGCCTCTTTTAAAGACATTCAGTTGTGGGTTTGGGTTTTTATTAATTAAAATTGTTTTCAGTTGTGTTTTTTTTTATATATCATTGATTTTTTATTTATAAAATTGATAGTCATGCAGTTGGCTTATAATAAAGAAAGTGTGCTAATAACTCATGTGATTGCAATGCCTTTATATAAACATTAACAAAATATAAATACTTAGATAAGAACAATAAAGACATTTTTAAATATAGCAATTAAACTAATTATCTGAAGAATCAGAAAATAATGTGACATTATGCATCTAAATTCAAATCCAGTCTCTGCAGCTCCTTCTTCCAGAAGAATTCCTTCTAACCAATGAACACAGAAGGAAAGAGAGAAAGAAGAAGTTCACTTTTAAGCATGCATCAGAGTACCACTGTGTGTTAGAGACAAGATTCTCTGCTCAACGTAAATACTAGGTGATAGAAGTCTGAAGAGAAACAGGATATCTGAATAGTTTCAAAGTATCTCTAAGATATTTATGAACTTCAGAGAAAAGGATTTTCTCTACAGGGAAAATCTGGCAGAAACTTCCTTACCCAAGTGATCAAGACCTATATCATCATTAATGAGACATGCGGTCACGTGCCCTGGACATGAAGCTCTGAGAAGGGCACAGCATCAGGACATCACAGCCGTGTTCTCGTCAACAGTGCAGAACCTCACTCCATCCATGAGCAAACAGCAGCCAGACCCAAATGAGGGACATTCGACACAAAAGACTGACTGACACTCTTCACAAGTGTCGAGATCACAAAGGCAAGGACAGACTAAGGAGCTGTCACAGACTGGAGGCAGTTAAGGAGACATGACAACTAAATGCAATGTGAGATGCTGGATAGGACACTTGAACAGAAAAAACGCCTGAGTGGAAAAGTTGGCGACGTGTGAATACTGTCTGTGGTTTAGTTAAGTGGCATTGTGTCAACTCCAACTTCCTGGTTTTGATCATCATTCCATGATTATAGATGTTACCGTAAGGATTTCTAGGAACACTCTGTCCTATTTTTGTAATTTTGAGGGAATTCTAAAATTAGTTCATAATTAAAATTTTTTAAAAAATCCGGTCCACATTCTTGTGAAGGCTGTGTGTGACCCTGAGGACCTTAAGAAATGTAAAGGTTATGTCTGATTTCACATACTCTACCATTTCATTGGGAGAGACCAATCTCCCCAACCCAAACTCATTTGCCTTCCCCCAGAACCATTTTAAAGCCGCTGGTTAGAGGGGCCTTGTCCTTTCTTTTGAAGCTCTTCAGGATCAGACTCCTACAACTTCCTTCAGCAGCTCTTTACAGTAATGTTTTCCACTGCTGACAAATAAATATTTATAAAGCACTTGCTGTGCGACAGAACCTGTTAGAATCTGGGGACACAAAGACCAACAAAATGTGGCTCATCTTTTCAAAGATCCTACAGCCTCACAGCAGGGGGTAAGAGAGACTGACGGTGGGGGCAGACTTGTACTCAGGAATATGCATGAAGATATTCCAAGTGCACCTGGGGTACGAGATGTGGGGGGAGAATGAGGGGAAAGCCTCCGGCTTCCAGCTGGGTCAGTTACATCTGGGCTCACGAGTGCAGTAAGGATTCATAAAGAATTGGGTATTGAAAGAAAAAGGAAAGTAGGCGCCGTGTAAGGTTAAGGCTAAGCACTCCAAGAGCACAAACGAAAGCACAGGAGCTTGGACCTGCGGTGGAGGGAAAGGTGAGGTGCTTGGAGCTGGAAAGAGGTCACCCTACAGTTTAGTTTGCGGAGGGCCTCAGATGCCATTTTGAAAACCACAGCGTTTGACTAGCTCTTGTATAAAAGGGGAAGAAAACACCTATAAAGGCCATTATTGGGTCAGTGGGAACAACTGAAATATGGATAGCAGATTAGATAAAAGCACTGTATCTGTATTAAATTTACTGAAGTGGATGCCTGTCCTGTGGTTCTGTAAGAGCATATTCGGATTCTTAGAGAGTACGCCCTGAAGGATTTATAAGTAAAGGTCCACGATGCATGCAGTTTATTCTCAAGCGGGTAGAACAAAAAGTGAGTGAGAGTGTGTGTGTGTGTGTGTGTGTGTGTATTTGGAGAGAGCGTGCGCACAAGCACGTAAGTGGGATAAAAAGGTAACAGCACATAAATCTGGGTTAAAGGTACATGGGTATTCTTTGTACTATTTTTGTAACTTTCCTGTATGTTTGCAATTTTCCTAGATTAAAAGTTGAAAAAATTACCCTCAAAATGTAAAGGAATGGAATCTTTTTTTTTTTTTTTTAAAGATTTTATTTATTTATCTTTTAGAGGGAAAGGGAAGGAGAGAGGGAGAGAAACATCAATGTATGGTTGCTTTTTGTGCGTCCCCTGCTGGGAATTGGCCTGCAGGGAACTGGCCTGCAACCCAGCAATGTGCCCTGACTGGGAATCGAACCGCAATTGTCTGGTTTGCAGGCCCGTGCTCAATCCACTGAGCTACACCAGCCAGGGCTGGAATCTTTTTAAAAAATACATGTGCCCAGGCTGGTGTAGCTCAGTGGATTGAGCACGGGCCTGCGAACCAGACAATCGCGGTTCGATTCCCAGTCAGGGCACATACCTAGGTTGCGGACCAGTTCCCTGCAGGCCAGTTCCCAGGAGGGGACGCACGAAAGGCAACCGTACATTGATGTTTCTCTCCCTCTCTCCTTCCCTTCCCCTCTAAAGGTAAAGGAATGAAATCTTTTTTAAAAATACATGTATTAAACCTTTTACTTCAGCTTAAACCATACAAATGTAAATTTACTTGATGAAGACATAGTATTATGTCGTTGTTCAACAGCTACAGCGCCATCATACACCACAGCTCAGCCGCTTCACGGTTAAAGCTGTGTCTGTCTGGTATTCAAGCTCTGTCTCCACATAACGTACAAAGAGCATTTGGGCCACAACATAGGCAATTTGAGGCCCTGTGTTTGTTTTCCCCTCTTTTTCTTATGTATCCCCATCTGTTTTTGATTTCTACATCATTCATAATTTCACCTTCCAAAAAATTAAAACTCACAAAGCACTGTTATGTCATCTCCCTAAAAAAAAAATCATTAGAACTTTGATTTGTAAAAAACCAGCTAACTAATAAATCACATGCTTCATAAAAAAAAAAAGTAGCCGGGGCCGACGTGGCTCAGTTGGTTAGAGCATTGCCCCGTAACCAAAGGGCTGCAGGTTCCTTCAGTTCCTGGTCAGGGCACACACCCAGGCTGCAGATTCGATCCCTAGTCCGGGTGCGTACTGGAGGCAACCAACTGATGTTTCTTCTCTCTCCCTTCTCCTCTTTTTTAAAAGCAATGAAAAAAAATGTCCTTGGGTGAAGACAAAAAATTTTTAAATTTAAAAAAAATGTAGGCTTTGATTTAGAAATAATGGAAAGTCAAGCAAGGTTTTTTCTTAAACTAGAGCACAGCATGATCAGATTTGCATTTTGTAATCCAATTTGTTAGAATGTTTTTCTTAATGTCCAACCAAAACTTGCCTATTGTAATTTAAGCCAATTTCTTCATGCTTATTTCTTTGTGGATGTAAGAAAATATCTCACAAAAATCTCTCTCTATATATAGAGTTAGTAATCACATGTGTGTCTCTCAGCCTTTTCTTGTTTTAATTACATGACCTTTCCTCACAGGACCTGTTTTCCACTTTTTTAATTATCTTTGGTGTTCGCCTGTGAATCCTCATGCGTTCCTCCATCTGCTTGATGAACTGTGGTGACCAAAACTGAGGAACCACCCACGTGCCAGTAGGCATGTGGGCTCGTCCCCACATTTTTTGCAATGGCATTATACTAATGAACCCCATCTATTAATTATTAATCATAGAAGAATTTCTTTGATAATTAATGTCCTACTACTTCCCCGCCCACTTAAATTGTATAATTGGGACAATGCTTTCCCTCGATGACCACTCAGAAAACTATTCGTGAAAGCATTAAGAACTCGATTGAAACTGAGATAAAGTCGGTCATTCATTCAACACACAGTCACCCTTACAATTCTCTCTTGTTACAGTTTTTCATATTATTATAGAACAAAATCCAATTACTCTGGCAAGCGTTCACTGTCACCATGGCACGGAAGTTGCTTTTTCAGCTTGATATTTCAGGTAATTGAGCAATGATTGTGTA